TCTGCTCCCTTCCCTGCTGGCTCCCATTCGGGCCGGAGGCTCAGCCATCTCTGTGAGCGGAAGAATGATATGGTGGATGGGCTGAGTGGGAGCTCCAAGTGTGGGGACGGGCCTGGGGCATAAGTCTGCTCTCCACAGGGCAGTACCAGGCCTCCCAAATATAGGAATCGAGGCTCTGCCCTGGGCACCCTCTCCCATGCTTGCTCTCCACGTGTCGGTCCAGCTCCTTTGTTTTTGCCTGGGGACAAATATATATTCAGAACCTTTGGGTGCCAGACACTGTGCTGGGTGCTGCGAACACGGCAGTGTCAGGCATGCAAGGTCCCTGCCCTGGTGGAGTCTCTGCTTTCAGAGGGAGGTGTTGGCGCTCTGCTTTCTTTGCCCTGGAAATTCGTTGAAGCCTCTTTTGCCGATGGCCCCTCTCCCCGTACTCTGTGGTATTGCAGGATTGTACCTTTTTTTATCCCTCTACTCTCTCTAAAGCAGCATCTCAGAAGGTGGAGGACCGCAGGCACATTTTGAACTTCTACTGCAGAAACTAGATTGTGACCTTCCAGAAAAACTGTCTTGTGCGAAGGCTAACCCAGAATGGCTGGGTGCTTAGATTCTGAAAAGGAAGCCACCACTGAGTTTCCAGTTTGAAACAGTAGAAATTGGCTTCTCAGGGTATCCAGCAGTCTTGAGATACAGATTTTTCACATCATGGTTCTGTTTTTCATCAGCCTTGTTATAAGGACCGTAGTCTTGCCTCTGATTGGGGCAAGACTCCTTAGTGATCTGATCAAGCCTTCTCTGTGGTTCAGAGTCAAAGCCTGGTTATTCATTCCCCCATGGAATAGCTATTAAAGAAATGAACTATTGCCTCAAATTTTGCAAAACCATGTTATGTTAGAAGCTCCGCAAATTAGTTTCTTAAAGGGAACTTCTCATCTTCATGGACTAGAAATTTTTCCAGTTTGTGAAGTCCAGAAGAAGCAGAGTGAACTCCTTTGTGTGTGCTTTTCTCTAGAATGGGGAATGAACCAGTAGAGTTTGTGCTGTTTCTTAGAGTGGCTTTGCTCTAACTAGGGCTGATCTGTTGTTAGCTTTCTCCTGAAGTAGCTGTTGGCATGCTCACCCCTGAGTTCACAGAGGCACGGTTGGGGCCGCACTTGGAAGGCCTGGGCTTGGGTGTAGGTGGTCTGTTGGAATCTCTAGGTGGCTCTGTCTTCCAGCCTCTAGTGAATTAGGAGTGTATTTCAAACTACAGGACTCAGTGCGTTCATTAGGCTACGAAATCAGTTTCGTGGGCCACAGCCACTGTTAGGAAAACTAAGTGTAAAACAGTAGAAAATGTCAATAGATTTCACGTGGTGAGGGGTTTGTTTTTGTTTTCTTTTTTTGGCTGCACTGTGAGGCATGTGGGATCTTAGTTTCCCAATCAGGGATGAAATGCATGCCCCCTGCAGTGGAAGCATGGAGTCTTAACCATTGGACCACCAGGGAAGTCCCAAGGGTATTATTTTTGTGTATGGGGGAGATTGGGTCGTGAAATCGAATGCATTTTTTAATTGTGGGTCTTGGAGAAGTTTAGAAGACACTTCTCTAGGGACTTTCTTGGTGGCGCAGTGGTTGGGAATCCGCCTGCCAATGCAGGGGACACGGGTTCGAGCCCTGGTCCTAGAGATCCCACATGCCACGGAGCAACTAAGCCCGCGAGCCACAACTACTGAGCCTACGGGCCACAACTACTGAAACCCGCACACCTAGAGCCCGTTCCCTGCAACGAGAGAAGCCACCGCAATGAGAAGCCCGCACACCACAACTAAGAGTAGCCCCCGCTCGCCGCAACTAGAGAAAGCCTGCGTGCAGCAACGAAGACCCAATGCAGCCAAAAATAAATATACAGTGGAGAAAAGACAGCCTCTTCAATAAGTGGTGCTGGGAAAACTGGACAGCTACATGTAAAAGAATGAAATTAGAACACTCCCTCACACCGTACACAAAAATAAACTCAAAATGGATTAAAGACCTAAATGTAAGGCCAGACACCATCAAACTCTTAGAGGAAAACATAGGCAGAACACTCTATGACATAAATCACAGCAAGATCCTTTTTGACCCACCTCCTAGAGAAATGGAAATAAAAACAAAAATAAACAAATGGGACCTAATGAAACTTAAAAGCTTTTTGCACGGCAAAGGAAACCATAAACAAGACGAAAAGACAATCGTCAGAATGGGAGAAAATATTTGCAAATGAAGCAACTGACAAAGGATTAATATCCAAAACATACAAGCAACTCATGCAGCTCGATATCAAAAAAACAAACAACCCAATCCAAAAATGGGCAGAAGACCTAAATAGACATTTCTCCAAAGAAGGATATACAGATTGCCTACAAACACATGAAAGAATGCTCAACATCATTAATCATTAGAGAAATGCAAATCAAAACTACAATGAGATATCATCTCACACCGGTCCCAATGGCCATCATCAAAAAATCTACAAACAATAAATGCTGGAGAGGGTGTGGAGAAAAGGGAACCCTCTTGCACTGTTGCTGGGCATGTCAATTGATACAGCCATTATGGAGAACAGCATGGAGGTTCCTTAAAAAACTAAAAATAGAACTACCATATGACCCAGCAATCCCACTCCTGGGCATATACCCTGTGAAAACCATAATTCAAAAAGAGTCATGTACCAGAATGTTCATTGCGGCTCTATTTACAATAGCCAGGACATGGAAGCAACCTAAGTGTCCACTGACAGATGAATGGATAAAGGAGATGTGGCACATATATACAACGGAATATTACTCAGCCATAAAAAGGAATGAAACTGAGTTATTTGTAGTGAGGTGGATGGACCTAGAGTCTGTCATACAGAGTGAAGTAAGTCAGAAGGACAAAAACAAATACCGTATGCTAACACATATATATGGAATCTAAAAAAAAATAATGGTCATAAAAAACCTAGGGGCAAGATGGGAATAAAGATGCAGACCTACTAGAGAATTTACTTCAGGATACAGGGAGGGGGAAGGGTAATCTGGGACAAAGTGAGAGAGTGGCATGGACATATATACACTACCAAACGTAAAATAGATAGCTAGTGGGAAGCAGCCGCATAGCAGCAGGAGATCAGCTTGGTGCTTTGTGACCACCTAGAGGGGTGGGATAGGGAGGGTGGGAGGGAGAGAGATGCAAGAGGGAAGAGATATGGGGACATATGTATACGTATAACTGACTCACTTCGTTACAAAGCAGAAAGTAACACACCATCGTAATGCAGTTATACTCTAATAAAGATGTTAAAAGAAAAAGAAATAAAAATAAATTTTTTTTTTTTTAAACAAGACACTTCTCTAGACAAGGGTGGGGAAAAGCTGGATAAAAAAGGAAGAATCAGCTTAGAACCTAATGTAACTAACCTGTGCTGAGGCTTAATCATGGTCTATTGTTTCTACCCTCTTCTATTGTCTTACATGATTTTTATGAAATATTTGGGGAGAGTAACTGTGCTCTGAACGCAGTAGATTCAGTTTCAGTGCCATTGTTGGCAAGTCGTGCACCCTGACGGCGCCTTCAAGCAGAACCGTTCCACTGTGCTGCCCAGTAGAAACGTAATGTGAGCCACAAAGGCAGTGTTACACTCCAGCAGCCCCTGTGAGCACAATTAAAATAATGTGTTTTATTTACCAACTTATCATTTCAATGTTTAATCAATACAAAAAAGTATTAAAGAGATATGTTAACTTTTTTGGTACAAAACTGGTGTGTATTTTACACACACAGCCCATCTGAAAGTGGGCTAATCACATTTCAAGTGCTTACTACCCACACTTGGCTTGTGGCCACCACATCATACGGAGCAGTTCTCACTTACTGAGGCACCTGCGCGAAGGATGGGAGCATCCGGGTACTGCCCCCCCCCCCAATCTGGCAACATGGGGCCCTTTGCTGTGGCCCCCAAGGGAATGGGACCAACACTTGTGAGCCCCTCCTAAGCCCCAGGCGGGATGGGGCGCACTTCAGTGACTGTGGGACTTCACCCTCACAGCAGCCAGTGCATGGGCGAGGGTGTCCGTCCCCATTTTATTGGTGGTGAACGCGGCCTGAATAGGTTCAGTAACTGTGCAAAGTGGCCTGAGTGCCGTGTGGTGGGATGGATCTGGGATTGGAGCCAGGCGTGCCTGATGCCAACGCCTGTTCTTCCATCGACCCCTGGCTGCCCGCACACTCAGAAGGGCCGTTGTAGGGCCTACCTACCCTGAGCCCCTGCTTTTAGAGGAGATGGAGTCTTGAGGAATGAGGAGGCGTTTTGTGGTGAGAACTGTGACGGGGAATTAAGTAACTTTGTTCTGATGATAAGAGCTCATTTAAAAATATGATTCAAAAAATGTTAAAGGGTATAAAGCAGAGAGAAAAGTCCCCATAACCCCATCCTCAGAGTTAAACATTGTTTCAGTTTGGGGGTGTGTCCTTCTAGATTTTTTTTTCTCTGTACATACTAGTCTCTCCCCTTCCCCCTCCAGAATGGCACAAAACTGTCGTTCACGTTGCCTCTCTGTTGCCTCCCCCTCCCCGCTAGGGTCATGGACATTGCCCTGTGTCGGGGCTGGACCCAGTGAGGGAGCTGAGGCCTAGAGAGATGGATTAACCAGCGGCCTGAGCCCCCCACCCCTCAGGATGGAAATGGCCAGGGCCTGGCCCGCAGTCCTCCTCTTTCATTCCTAGCCAACCTCATCTCATCTCATCTCAGGCAGCCTTTTCTCTCTTGTTTTTTTGTGACAACTGTTCCTTTATCAGAGCTCTTCTCTGTGATCCACTATCCTTTCTAACCTTGGTAATCCTGACGGAGAATGGGAGCCAGATCCGTCCCCAGCAGTCGCTCATTTCCGACACTGGCTTCTCACCTCTTCCGTGGTACCTTTGTCCTTTTCCGTCTCTGGATTGTATTTATTTTTGGCGAGGAAAAGCTTTCTTAGTAATCCTTCCCTCCTTCTCTGTAGTTCCCAGTGACCTGACTGCAGAGGAGCGCCAGGAGCTGGAGAACATTCGGCGGAGGAAGCAGGAGCTGCTGGCCGACATCCAGGTAGGAGCTGGGCAGCCACCTCGACCAGGTGTCTTCTCGTGACACCTTCTGCCTTGGTCTCACCACAGTTCTGATAAAGTGCAGGTATTGATAACCAGCTTTGCTTATTAACAAGTGAGAGTGGAATCTCAGAGAGGAGGAGTGCTCTGTGAGCTGCACCCAGCTGGCCGGCTGTCAGGCTAGAGTGACAGGTCTCCTGACTGCGACTAGAACCCAGGCTTCAGGTTATGTAGACCCATGTCCACGTCCTGGTGGCCACTTTCTGGCAGGGCGATTCTAAATAGAGAATTTTGCCTCTTTGGTCTTCAGTTTCTTTTTCTGTAAAATAGGAATGAAAACACCTGTTGATAGGTTGCCATTAGTTGGATTATTTAGCCCCTGGGGAAGCCAATTCTTTTAGAATTCTCTGCTGTGTAACACATTTGAGAGCTCAGGGGCAGGGACGGGAGGGGGTACACCCTGTAACACCCTGTAACGCCAAGCTGCGAAGTGTATCGTCGGAAAGACTGGGCATGCTCCAGTGTTGGTGTGAGTATACTTTGCTGTGGCCCTAGTTCTTTGATTCCTCCTTCACTGGTAAGTGCTGGGAAAGCTTCGCAGTTCTTCACTCAGAGCCCCCTCCAGCGTGACGGTCGTCCACTCTGAGGGCCTGCTTAGATGGGGGAGGGGTGGAAGGCAGAGCTGGGATCAGCGTTCCCTTTGCCAGCCACTTGGCGGCACTGTTGGCCCAGCACCAGCACTGCTGGCCGGGCAGCCTGGGCGTTGCGGGGAGTGGTTTATCCTGGGAATCTTCTGTCACCCGCTGTTCAGTGAGCTGCGGATGTGCTCCAACAGACTGTGTTAAGGCTGCCGTTTTCAGTGGAAAAATACATATTGTACATAGTGTGTATGATTATAAATTTCTGTCCTAGACTAAACTCCTTGTGGTCAGGAGGTATCTTTTTCACCTTTGTATTTCCTAGAATGTTTACTATCTGGTAGGAACCCAAGAAATATTTGTTGAATAGATGAATTTTCCAAAAATGTTTAGATTTTGGGGGGGCATCATCTTATTTAATTTCATTTTGCTTTATTTTAGTTTTTGGTTGGAGGGAGTTGTGCGAGATTTTAGAGATTTTAATTAGATCTGTATCTTCCTCCTGGTAATTCTGGGCTGTGTGTTTTGCAGAGGCTGAAGGATGAGATAGCAGAAGTAGCTAATGAAATTGAAAACCTGGGGTCCACAGAAGAGAGGTGAGTCTGTCCTCTTCCAGGTGGTTTTGTGGTTGTAGCATCGCCAAGTGCCAGCCTGCAATTGTACACACGTGGTGTATTTAAGAAGAAAGTGTGTTTTCTGCCCTCTTTGCCTAGCAAGCATGTATGTAACCATACTTTTTGCCTTTAGCACGGGGACTTCTAAATGTGAGGGCTTTTGACATTGTTGGAAAGGCTGAACTGGAGAACTTGGCAGGTCCCCCAAAGCCTTAAGTAGCCCTTAAACTATCATGTGAACTATTTCTTCCCTTCTCTTGTCCACTGTGTACCTATTCTAGAGTTTCTGTTTTTCCTTTTTGGGTAAAGGAAAAGCTTAATGGATGCTGCCAGTGCAGTTCCCGAAGGCTGGAGGCCCAGTTGTGTCTGGGTGTCATCATAAGCTTGCTGGTGCCTCCCTAAGACTTAAGAGAAGAGGACGTAGAAATGAGATTATAGCACAAAGTGACAAGGGATGTCTGCAGGTTATTTTCTTCTTTTAACTACATGAAATCTTAGCTGCTTTGAGAGTTTAATTTTGAATGGGGTTCCCAGGCCATTTTCTAACTGCTTCATGTCGTAAATGGGCTATTTCTGATTCACTCCGCGTCTGTATTTTGCTAAGCCTGGGTCTCCCTGTCTGGCTTCATGAGACTGTCTGATTTTGTTACTTTAAACTTGTGCAGCAGGGCCATCGGGGATTAGTGAAGCTGCATGTGCTGCAGAAATGGGCCGCCAGCTCATCACATCCAGGCACAGCATTGTCAGTTCTGAATTGCAGCTTTTCTTACTTGCCATTCAGAACAATTGTAGCTTAAAAGAAATGGACAACTAGGAGTTCATCAGAATTCACAATTTCTGCTCTTATAAAATATACTCTTAAAAGAAATGAATAGGCAAACCACAGATGAGGAGAAAATACTTGCAATACCCAAATTTGAAAAAGGACCTGTATCCAGAATATCTATAGAAAGAACACATAAAACTTACGAATAAAAAAACAGCTTAGGGGCTTCCCTCACGGTCCAGTGGTTAAGACTCTGCGCTCCCAATGCAGGGGGCCCCGGTTCGATCCCTGGTCAGGGAACTAGATCCCGCATGCTGCAACTGAAAATCCCGCGTGCCGCAACTAAAAAAGACCCCGCACGCGGCAACGAAGATCCTGTGTGCCACGACTAAGACCCAGCGCAGCCAAACAAACAAATAAATAAATAAATCAGCTTAACTAAAAAATGGGCAAAAAGCTTGAACACTTCTATACGTATAATAGACACATGAAAAATGCTCAGTATCATTAGTCATAAGGAGATGCTGCTTCACACCCACTAAGACGGCTGGCATTAAATAGACAGGTGGCGTCTCGAGTTGCCGAGAGCTGGTGAGAGTAAGCCGTGTAAACACTGGGGAGAACGGGATGGCAGTTTCTCATAATGTTGACCATATATCCGTGCTGTGCCCAGCAATTCAGCTCCCAGGTATTTACTCAAGAGAAATGAGAGCGTGCCCCCATGCACGAGGATATCTACAGCGTTCTTATTTAAAACAGCCAAAAACTGGAATTAGCTTTAAATGTCTACCAGCAGATGAATGGACGAACAGATTGAGGCAATAACCTATTAACTTACATAGCATACACTTCTAGGGTTTTGAAAATGCTCTGAAACTGGATTATAGTGATAGTTGCACAACTCAGTAAACTTACTGAACATCACTCAGATGTACACTCAAAATGGGTATGTTATATGATATGTAAACTATACCTCAATAAAGTTTTAAAAAATCATGTTAAAAAAAGAAACCCACTGCGGTAGAAGGAACAAATGAGCCTGGGGCCAGGGTCAGGATTTCAGTGTCCTTCCATAGTTAGACCTAAGTGTGCCTGTGCTTTCCTGGATAAATCTCAGAAATCCCTGCAAATCAGTGGACGCGTGTGGGGGTCATATCAGTCTTTCAGAAATTCTCGAATACCTGGAGTACTCAAATGGCTGTGGTGGTTGTTTTACAGGAAAAACATGCAGAGGAACAAACAGGTAGCCATGGGCAGGAAAAAATTCAACATGGATCCTAAAAAAGTAAGTGGAAAGTCAGCAGCCAGAGCCCATAGTCTGTAAGGTGGCGGTTTCCGTGGTGTCAGCTGGAACCCAGGGGCACTAAGACGGCTTACCTGCCTGTTTGTAGAGTGCAGCTCATGTGAGCCCTGCTTCCTGCAGAACTTGGAATTACTTAGTAGATACTTCCTCTGTGTCCAGAGCACCCATACCCGTTCTTCCTGCGCCCTTGTCTCCTTTCCGAACCTTCTTGGGGTCTAAGGCACCATTGGCATCTTTGCTGTCTTTCCAGGGGATCCAGTTCTTAATAGAGAATGATCTGCTGAAGAACACTTGTGAAGACATCGCCCAGTTCTTGTATAAAGGTGAAGGGCTCAACAAAACAGCCATCGGTGACTACCTGGGGGAGAGGTAAGGCCTCCGGAGACACCTGTGGTAGGTTGGTCAGCAGTTAGTTACCTAGAGAAACAAACTCCATGATGCTCTGAGCTTTGTCCCGAGGGGTGCTGGGGAACAGCAGCTTGGGGGCGGAAGGACTCCTCCTGTGTTCAGCTAGCAGACAGAGAGCTGCAGGTAGATGGCTGCCTCCCCGCCCCGGCCACGGGGCCGCGGCGCTCAGCGTGGGAGGCGGCCTGGCTGGGGGTCGGGATGACCTTGGATTCTCAGCATCAGTGTCTGACTTCTGCTCTCCCCTCCACCCCCGTATCTTTTGTTTCGCTTGCTAGAGATGAGTTTAACATCCAGGTTCTTCATGCGTTTGTGGAGCTACATGAGTTCACTGATCTCAACCTTGTCCAGGCCTTACGGTGAGTGTGTTCACAGCTAGCAACTTTTGGAGCGGGAGGCGGGCCTTTGCTTATGCGTCTGCCCTGTGTGGCATTTTAATGAAATTTACCTTTGGTGGTTATTTGAGTATCTCAAAGCATCTTAAAGGAAAGTAGTCTGTTGGCCTATGATTGAAATGATTGGATGGTTAAAGGGAATTAAATTGAAAGCAGATTTTGCAAAACTGTTCCTCAGGTCTTTCATTTAACATTTTGGAAATGGATGTTTACACTTGGAATCTTTCCCGATTTCGCTTTAGAAAACCTTTAATTTCCTGCCCTGGAATAGGAAGTAGATAGTATGCCCTTCATTTTAGAAGGAAAAAACTCAACGTTAATTTTTTTGCTAAATCTATTACCTGTGTCTTTTGAGAAATTGTCATTTGGTATTTTCACTGCCGTTAGTGTAAATAATATCATCTTTTGTGTTGTCATTTAGATTGATGAAAATAATCCAGAATTAAATCTGTTGACCACAGGTCTCTCTTTGACTTAAAGGGATTAGTCTTGAATGCTTTGATAGAAAATCTCTTTTCCTGCTATGTCATCTTTTTTTCTGGAAATTGGAGTTCTTTTAAAATGGGCATTATCTGTATTTCAGTCTTGTGTATCAGTCTGAGGAGGAGAACCATTCTTTTGAATAGGAAAATCTTAATTGTTTTCTAAATACATTCTCTCCGATCGAGAGAATGGTGATGTGGAGTAGTTAGTCTGCATCTGTTCAGAGTTACTTGACAGAAGGCTGAAGTCCCCCATGTCACCCTTTGCCGCAGAAATCATTCACAGAGAAACAAATTATCTCCCCAAGTCCCATAACTTGCCCTGTCTTCACCTCCTAGGCAGTTCCTGTGGAGCTTCCGGCTGCCGGGAGAGGCCCAGAAGATTGACCGGATGATGGAGGCGTTTGCCCAGCGCTACTGTCAGTGCAACCACGGGGTGTTCCAGTCCACAGGTGAGCGGGGGGGGGGGGGGGGGGGGGGGGGGGGGGGGCGGTGGGCGTCCTCTCCTGTGGTTGGCAGTGCCTGTCAGGTTCTCTTCTAGGTACTAGGTCATTTCTAAAACAAAAGGGCTTAGGTTCTTGCCTAAGAACGTTGCTTTAAATGGTATTTATAATAGTAAAAGGTTGGAAACTATCCAAATTCTAACAATAAGGTAGTAAGAATGTAAGTTATGGTACCTCTGAATTATGAAGTATGCAACTATTAAAACTCATGTTTTTAAAAAGAGGCTTTATTGACATGGAAAAATGCTAATAAGATTAGCCAAAAAGCAGACTTCAAAACTATGTATCTGTTTTCATTCTAATTGTGTTACAGTCTGTATCTGTGAGATACATTTGTGATACCTTACACGTAGGCACATTTATGTGAGAAAGCAAAATAAGTTCTTACTAGGTGGTGAGATTATAGGTAGTTTATATCTTCTTTTTTATACGTTGTGCTTTTCTGGTTTTCTATGGTGTATGTGTTCTTCTTTTACAATCTGAAGAAATAAACGTCTTTAAGTCTTGAATGCTTTATGTTCTTTCCCGTGCCTTGCTCTTTTCAGTGAGCAGTATATAACCTTTCAGTTAGATCATACCCAAGCGCATGGATTTTGCGCATTCTTTTGAGAGCGCTGCTTTTTTTTTTTTTTCCGGTACACGGACCTCTCACCGTTGTGGCCTCTCCCGTTGCGGAGCACAGGCTCCAGACGCGCAGGCTCAGCGGCCATGGCTCACGGGCCCAGCCGCTCCGCAGCATGTGGGATCCTCCCGGACCGGGGCACGATCCCGTGTCCCCTGCATCGGCAGGTGGACTCCCAACCACTGCGCCACCAGGGAAGCCCTGAGAGCACTGCTTTTTATTCTCTATCTCATCCGGAGTTTCATGTTCTTTCGGGTGGGATGTTTCCGATCGGATTTTGCTTTTCTCTTTTAGACACGTGTTATGTCCTCTCATTTGCCATCATCATGTTGAACACCAGCCTGCATAACCCCAATGTCAAAGACAAGCCCACCGTGGAGAGGTTCATTGCCATGAATCGAGGCATCAACGACGGGGGAGACCTGCCCGAGGAGCTGCTCCGGGTGAGTTTGGCGCTGATTCAAGACTGTGGTCCCGGGCGGTGCTTATGGAGGGGACGGGGGGGACGTGGGATCATCCAGTGTCTACTTGGACCATACACATAATTATGTGAATTTCATTAAGAAATTGGTAGTGAGGCCCAGTGAGGAGTCAGTGGGGGAAAGTGGTTTATAAATCTGAAACTAAAGGCTCGAATGGAAGTCGGGCTGATCTCTTTTCTTTCTTAATTGTCCATTAGGCGTCTTATTTCTCTTGTCTCTGTGAGCCCCTAAAGGGAGAGATGTTCTCCATGCCACCAGTGTGTGGCACACAGTGACACTTATTAAACGAATGGTGGGAAAGGGCGGGAGGAGAGGTATTTCTCGGATCAGAGACATGCAGTGTCATCTTTTATCCCAGAATCTGTATGAGAGCATAAAAAACGAACCCTTTAAAATCCCAGAAGATGATGGGAATGACCTTACTCACACTTTCTTCAACCCAGACCGAGAAGGCTGGCTATTGAAGCTCGGTAAGTGATGCCGTCTGGGTTAGGGCTTCTAACGCAGAAACTTAAAAAGAACGTGTGTGTGCACGCTCGCCAACCCGAGCCTGCACTGTGGGGAAAAGGGGGTTGGTGCAGGAGGCGCTAGGGAGAGTCTTTGGTATGAATTCGTACTGTTCTAACAAGGCCGCGTCCAGAAGGGAAGGAATGCACGGCTAGTGCCCCATGGGACGCACAGAGACTCCTGGGGATAGGCTTGCCCGCATAAATATTGCCTACATGTGTTTGCGCTCCACATTTCCTCTCTGGGGCATTTCCCGGAGGACCTACCTGGTCCTTTTCCCTTCCCGGACCACTGGGAGGGCGGCCAGCTGTGCCCTTCTCTCTACTTCCCATCACAAGTTTGTATCCGGTGCTCCCGCCTCCCCCACCCCGGTGCATCATCACTTCCTTCTGCGTCTGGCTCCCCACAGGCAGCGTGCATGGCAACCCCGAGGCCCTGGCTGCAGCGCAATCCACGGCACTCTTACTCATTCTTGGGCGCTGGTTTTTTTTTCACCCCCTCCTTTCCAATACAAATCAGCCACGTTAATGATTTTGTTCCTTCAGAAAAATTAAAAATTATTCTTGTTCCCTCTGCCAAAAGTGAGCTTGTATTGCTGAGATCTGTGGTCACGCCTTGCCACGAAGGTGACAAAGTAACCAAAAGGAAGGTTTTTATACACATTCATATGCACATGTGATTATTTCATTAACCGTTTCAGAATGCAGAGAGAGCCCCCAGACGTAACGATGTTAATTTTTTGGCCACTGAGAGAGTACTTTCCCCTGTTTTCTTCTGCCTTGGCCTTTTGATGTGTGGGTTCCTGCATTATCAGGAGGTGTCATTAGAATGATCCTCCTCTACCATTTCAGCTCCTGGTCCCAGTGAGATTAGAAGTCCTTACACTCTATGCCATTATTGACACATCTGGGAAGCGCTGAAATGAGATCTTCAATTTCTGACTCGTTCAGATGGCAGTAGGATTTGTATTCCCTTTTAAAAGCATATCCTAAGTCCTCGGGTTTATACACAATGACTCAGTTCATAAATTCTCCTTAAGCACCACCTCACTGGTCGGAGTTGTTAAACGTCTCTTGAATTTGTCAACGTTTCATGTATCTTTAAGCCAGGAGAATCTTCGAAGTTAAGGCTCTAAAATTACTCACCCCAGAGGTGGCCACTCTGCTCTGCATCTTTATTGCCAAGTGGCTAGAGTTAAAAGGGAACCTGCTGGAAAATTTAAAAGTGCATCCAGGTTTGGATTTGCTTCCCCCTCCAGCGAAATTTGTTTAAATGCTAATACTAAGTGTTAGCTTTGACAGCCCAGATAGTAAAATTAGAACAGTACGAAGATTATCTTGGTTCTTACACCAGGATGACATGTAAATTCATGAGGCATCCCATGTTTTTTAAAAAGAAAAAAATTTAACTAAATGTGAGACTCGTTTTTAGGTCATTGCATTACTTTTTCCAGACCTCCACCAAACCCTCCTAAACTCTTCACATTGTGTTTTCATTGTAGCACACTTCAAATCACCCCTTCGTATGTGTGTGCCACAGAAGGCAGGCCTTCCAGCTGTCTGCAATTGTGTGTATATGTCTGTGTATGCATATAACCATAAGATTATGTATTCTTGTGTATACACATATGTACATATGTATTCACAGGCTTGTGTGTGAGCATTTTTACACACACTTTAAAAAGAGGTAGCCATCCGAAGAGAGACATTTAATTTTCCCCAAAGTAATCTTCACTGTCTTTGCTCTGGATTCAGGATATACTAATAAACGTCAGCTTGGTGAGAGCTGATTTGTGGCATCTTTGAGGCCAGGATTTTGGTGGTGCCTCAGATCTTGTCTTTACCAGATGGGATGTGGCAGATGAGGCCAGCCCCTCATTCACACGCCGGACAGTGGCATTTGCCCTGTTACTGTCTTTATGTCCCGTCCCCACAAGGCAGACATGAATGACTAATACAGTGCACCTTAAGGTTAAGGAGTCGGGTTTAATTTCTTTGTTTTAATTTTCTTTTCTCCCTCATTTGTATGTTTCCATGATTTTGGCTCTCCTTTTCCTTGCCCCAAACTCCAGGAGGTATGTAATCCCCTCAACCTGCTCGCTCGCTCTGCCCAGGCCACTGTAATCGCTGCAGCGTTTTCTTATTTTGTTATTTTTGATTATTTTGTTTTAAATTGCTGGTGGTAGTGTTAATGCTGCTTCTAACTTACCGTACAGTCCCTAGGGAACTGGTCAGGATTGGGGGTGCGGAGTGATTTTCATGTTTCCCTTGGAGGGGTAGTGCATAGTGCATCCAACAGCTGGGCACCCAGATGTGGGACAATTTGAACTTTCCTGAGTGCAGTAGTGCAAGAAAACACACTAAGAGTGGATTTGTAAACGCAGACAAAGTATTCACTGAATTGTCTCTCGGAATTATTTGGCCAGGCATATGCTATATTACTGACTCAAATTGACACTCAGGAACTTCAGAGATTTCTGAAGTGGAGGAGAGGAGGAGGTTGTGATTCCCGCAGCCGTGTGCTCACGCACACGTGCCGTGACCAGAGGAGCAAAGTAGGAAAAGAAGTAAATTAGACAACATAGGACATTTGCCTTTGCATGAAAAAGGGAAATGGTGTTTCTTAAACTCAGAATGAGGCCAGGTAAAGTTAGAAAAGATAAAACCCCCAAATCCCTTCTTGAAGTCCTTCCGTTTAATCTCCTGTGTTTTAGGGGAGGGCATTACAACCTCGGCTCTGTTTTTTATGTTTTGTTTTGTTTTTCTCCCTCCTCTTTTTCAATGAGTCATCGTTCAAACCCCCAAATTGGCCTCATAGTTATGTCGTTGGTATCTGCTCTCCACTTGCTGATTCAGGGAAACATGTTTTCTAGATGAGGAAGTCCCCAGGTGTCTGCTTCAGCCTCACTTGAGCAGAGCCTCAAGGGAAAGAACGGCCCCAGCACTGACATTTATGAAACGTTTCCGGGCCTTGTCAGGTGGTTCCCACCCAGCTCCGGGGGAGCCAGCGTCTGGCCTTTACATCTACGGGGTAGAGGCCCGCAGGCTGGGAGGTGGTCCTGTGAGTTCCTCAGGGACTGTCCTAGGTGCGCGCATCGGTCTGTCTGCTTGTTTCATGTCTGTTTCCCTTTCAACATGAAATGTGTCCCTGGGACCGCGTGATGCTTCATGGTAGGGGTCTCGTTAATGCAGCAGGTTGTCGGGAAATGAAATAGCCAAGCTTTCATCACCAGGGAGAGGATTTGTCCGGCTTTGCTTTCTGTCCTAGATTTCCTCCCATCTTCTTCCTTGTGACATCTGACCCCTCTTCCACGGCTTCCTGAGCCCCAGGTGCCCCGGGGTGGTCCTGTGAGGGGAGCGCACGGCAGTGGGCATGGGTTGAGGTGTCCTGTGTGCTGAGCCCCGTGTGGGGGTGAAGGCCCAAGAGGCAGAAGAGCTGCTTCCTCGGGTTCTGAAAGGGGGAAGGGGGTTTCCTTTTTATAACAAATCAGCTCCAGTTCTAAGTATATTCCTTGTGTTCTTTCTCCTCCTGATTTATTTCGGTTCTGCCCAGCCTTTCCCATTTCCTCACGCATGTCGTATTTCCATCCATGGTTCTCTTGATTCATGCCCTAGGGCCTTAGGGGCCAGAGGCACGTGCTCACAGAAGCTGACAGTTGCTGTGGGCAGAGAGTCGAGTCGGTCTTCGCTTTGACAGCAGCAGGGGTGCGGGTGGGGGCGTAGCGCGTGCTGGCTCAGGACCAAACTCCTTCCGTGAGGTGGTGCCATTGAGAACCTCGGCAATTCATGATCAGTCGCTTAACCTCTCAGAGTTCGGGCGTCCGAGCAGAGCCGTGCGAGGGGCCCACAAGTCCAGTTGTCCTTAAAACTGCTACCAGGACCGACACTGGACACTTCATTTCCGGGACAGGATTTGCGTTGCTCCAGCAGTCGGATCCTTTGAGGAAACCTGGCGTGATCACACAGCCACGTCCTGGCAGCTGGAGATACTCCCTCTAAACCCTGTGCTCAGCTGTTTGTGGTGAGGGGCAAGCAAGGAAGCGTGACTGGGGTCACTAAATTTACACCCTGTGGTCCTTGTTCTTTATGAGGATTGGAGAAGTGATGTTCTCTGTAGGTTAAGTCAGCAAAAGAGCATATCCTGTCCAGGGCAGTAAGAAGTGTTTATGAAATGCTGTGTGTATCTCACCACATGAAGGCCTTTCGTATGGTTCATGTTCAGAAAGCTTTCCCTGGACCCGGTGTAAGTCGAGGAGAAGAAAGGCTTTGCTCATGGTCAGGTTGAGAGCAGGATGTGCCTTCAGTCACCGAGGCCATAGTGAAGTTTCTCTTCCTTTGTATCATCTTGGGATAACTTCATGACCCCGGTGTTTCTTCTTATTGAGAAATATTGAGAAGGACTAAGGGAACCTTCAACAGCTCACAGCCACCCGTGAGAGCTCACTTGGCCTGTGGCCTCCTCCTCCAGTTATTTTTGTTTCAAGATTCCGGTGAGAAGTCCAGAATTGAATAGGGACCTCTGCTTACCAGTGGATTCTTCCCTGATCCAGGGATACTGCTTTGTCCCACCCAGGACTCTGGGGGAATTTAGGACACTGGCCCAGAAACCTAAAAAGCCAGTGTAGAAACGCACTACAGTCAGGAAGGTGGGGTAGAAGGTGAAACCAAAGGAACTTGGGTTCCATGTTCCGGGAAAACTGGATTTGATTGTGAGGGGATTAAAATGTGTTACTTCCTGGTTCCTCCTCCTGTCCTGTTCTGATAAAACCCTGGGCTGGTGGACCAGCAGTGTAGCGTAGCCAGGGGGCTGGCCCTCTCCCCTCCTCTTGTGTTTGCCCATTTCCACCTGCATCCATAGGCTTCTGCTGACGCTTCTCTGGTCCATCACCGCCCCAGCCCCCTCCCCAGCCCGTGCTCTCATCTGCTGTCCTGATGTCATCTCCAGGGGGCCACCCAACTTGCTTGCTCTGCTTGTACCCACAGACTTTCACGCTGTGAAAGGTGCTTCTGTTTTGGCTCTGTGTCTCGTTACTGATGTAAATCTGCCATGGTCTCAGTGTCTTCCTGGCGCCTTGCCCCCGCTTCCTCGTCCTGCACCCTCTCTGGGGGCAGAGCTTCGAGCCCCCCGGAGCCTGCGCTGGCTGGTTGACTCCTATCCAACATGCATCTCTCTTTGCTCTGCAGGTGGCAGGGTAAAGACTTGGAAAAGACGCTGGTTCATTCTGACTGACAACTGCCTTTACTACTTTGAATACACGACGGTGAGCGCCTGCTGGTCAGCTGGGACGGGGGTGGACCAGGCCTTGTGTTTAAACAGCTCTAATGAGACAGGGTTGGAGGACGCAGGGGTAGACAGTCAGATTTGTCCTGCTGCGTCTTTGGGGCAGGAGGAGAGTTTATGTGAAGTGGAAGGGCTAAGACAAATCTCAAGAGGGGTGCCCGGGTGTGGTGTGGGGTGTCTGGCCACAGGAACCGTAGCTCAGAGCTGACATCCACTTCTCCATTGGGACACCATGTGCCCGGCCAGGAGACAGTGGCAGACAACATCATACACGGCATTAGAAATGGGTTGTAGAGCCGAGCTAGAAAGAATGAACTTGGACCCATGGCCAAGAGAGAGTTTGTGGCCCCATTGAAAGGGAAACAAAAGTAATTGTGATTCTGTGGTAGCAGAAATACTGAAGCACTTGATTTAGAAGAAACAGCCAAGGGGCAAAATATGTCATAGAGGAAAAGAAAGTGAAACGAAATGGGAGATTACCTGGAGTTTTAAGAAATTGACGTTTACTTAAACTGAAAGTCTTGTTGGTTTTTATTTAGTGGGAATGGAATTACAATACATACAATACTATGAGAATAAAGATTGTACAGAGTCTATGAGAATAAAGATTGTACAGTAAAACCTTTTCTGAAGCTCCCTCTAGGAGCCCCCAGGAGGCCCAGCAGGTTGGTAGCCTCAGGTTGGATCCCGCTCAGACGGGCTCCCCACAGCTGGAGGCCCTCGTTTCTGCCCTGTTCCCTGGTCATCGAAAGAGCAAACCATATACCACTGGCAGCACTGGAATGTGTCTTAAATAAAATCAGGGCAGTTGAGATCCTACTGAGAAAACGAAGGTTTAGAAGTATCTTTTATAATAAAGGTAGAGCAAGATGGGATGAGAGTCCTGGCAGTGTTTGTGTGAAGCTTGGTAGAAGCCAGGATGCAGGTCCATGCCTGGCCCTTTGCAGCTTGGGGGTGAAGCGGGTTTCCACTGTGTTCCACACTGTGGTTCTTCAGCTTGCAGACGTCGTGCGGATGTGGCTTCTCACGTGGGGAATGAGAGTCATGACAGTGTCAGCTCATAATTCAGTCACTCAGCAATTTCCAAGGGAATGCTGACCAGGATTTTGTGTGTTATGGGGGCTAAACTCATGCCACGTTAAGTTCTGCAACTGGCTTTGCTTTTCTGTTATTAAAATCCTTTCAATTATGAGAGTACTGTATTTCAAATACCCAAAACAGTACAAAGATAGATTTTTTTTTTCACCCCCCAAAGTACCACTGTGAACAGCTTGGTAAATTTCTTTCTGTTTTGCCCCTGTCCCCCCACCCCATGTATTAACTGTTTTTTCTAGACTGGTGACATCTTTAAAATCTTGTTTAAATCTTTTCCACTGGTCTCTGGGTTAATATGAACCATGTGCAGGGCATCTAAACAATGCACCCCTAAGTCCCGGGACAGTCTCAGTGATAATGCAGTGAGATTCTAGAATCTTGTGGTTCTTCATGACGCCGACCATGGTGGCGTTACCTGAATTCAGTCTAGCAGCACACCAGCATTTTATCAGACAGTGGGAATCCAGAGAAAACGTTTCTGAAGATGCTGAGGGGGGAGCCTCAGGGTTAAGATGGTAGGTGGAGATAACCACACAGACATTACCTGACAAAGAGGAAAAATCTAGTAGAAAGAAGTGGGGACATAGCAGCCGGATAAGGAAAGGGCAGAACGCATTCACTGCGCTTCACAGTAGGCAGCAGGGGCCGCGGCGCAGCCTGGAGCCAGCAGAAGGCCCCTTGCTGCGTGGCCAGACACAACCAGCCCCAGACCTCCCCGTGCCCAAGTCTGGGAGAAGTAAACCGAGTAGGAATTCTTCCCTCCTCCCGCTTTGGATGGAGGAGTGGTGAGGTCTGCTGCAGGGTAGAGACCGGGGAAACGAGAAAAATGGAAAAACAGGACTCACTTTCTGCGATATCAGTGAAAGCTCCGGGTGTGTGTTCATGTAAGAGGACTGTCCGTGGGGGGCGTGCGGTGAGCATCAGCTCCAAGAGATGCCGGACACCAGCACCCCAGGGGAGAGTTGGGGCTCGGGGTGTCTGAGGGGGGCGCTCCCTCCACTCGCTTCTCTCCTGAGACTCTGGAAGTGGGCCAGAACACCAATAGCTGGCTCTCCAGTAGTTTCAGACTTAAATGAGAACCAAAACTATATATTAAGAATATGACTATATAATTGTAGAATTATAACTTATTTATTAACACATAAGTTAAAACTTTAAGGAATGATTCGCTAGAAATGTAATCACTATCCTAGAGGAAAGGCTTGAGACAGTCATAGAGATTGTGTCTGAAAGACAAGCATTAAAACAATTAAGGGTGGGGCTTCCCTGGTGGCGCAGTGGTTGAGAGTCCGCCTGCCGATGCAGGGGACGCGGGTTCGTGCCCCGGTCTGGGAGGATCCCACGTGCCGCGGAGCGGCTGGGCCCGTGAGCCGTGGCCGCTGGGCCTGCGCGTCCGGAGCCTGTGCTCCGCAACGGGAGAGGCCACAACAGTGAGAGGCCCGCGTACCGCAAAAAAAAAACAAAACCAAAAACAAGGGCCAGCGAACAGGTGCGGCGGACAGATGAGGATGATCCCAATACCAGAATGACTGGGACCCGCAAATGCAAAGACAAGTCATGAGATTATTTCCCTAAAAAGGAGAAACAAACCTGAATCTGCAAATCAAAAGAGTGCATATGGTATTTTAGGAACATCTGTCCTAGGAAGCTTGGTGCCAAGGCATAGCCCGGTTAAACTGTTGAACTTGGGACAAAGTCTTTGGCCATTGGTTGTCTGGACATCAGGGAGAAGAGGTGAAGGCTGATGGCCCAGCAGGTGTGGGGGTGGCCTTTGCTGAGATGGGAAGCCCTGGAGGAGGGCCAGTGGGGGTGAGGGGACGCAGGGCTCTGTTCTGGACAGGAGTTTGGTGCTTTTTGGTCCAGGTGGGGTTGTCAGGCAGGCGGTGTCTCTTCGAGGACCCTACAGTCTGGAGGGGGAGGTGAGGCAGGAGATAGTGGGAAGCTGGTGACACGCGACACGACTATAGTCCAGGCGTTGCGGGCGCAGAACAGGGGCACCTCGGGCGAGACTTGAGCTTCCTAGGGTTGCTGACACTGGAACTGAGGTTTGAAGGATGAGTAGGCGGGCCAGACAAAGAAGCAGGATAATTTTTGTGTGAAAGGGCCTTACATGTTCCCCACGGGAGGGCCACCCACAGCTCTTGTCACACTCACTCTTTCAGAACGTCTGTGGAAGCTCCTCCTCCAAAGGCTTTTCGGTCTTAGGGATTCATATGTGGTATGTTGACAACACCCACACATTTCTTGACCCTCTTCTTGTTTTTAAAGCTGCTCTGTGGACTTCATGTCGTGGAGGAGTCACAGGAGCTGGGCTGAGTTGCCGTGAGGAAGGTAACAGGACATGCGTTCATAAACTGAGCAGTTAGGTCTTCTCTCTCCAATTCTTCTGCAGGATAAGGAGCCCCGTGGAATTATCCCATTAGAGAACCTGAGTATCCGGGAGGTGGAAGACTCCAAAAAACCAGTGAGTATTTTTTGGTGAGATGTTTTGGGGGGACAGAAGGGATGGGCATAGCAGCTGTTTGATACAGGAAGAAGTTGCAGAGGTTTACATTTGACCCTTGGACAACAAAGGTGGGGCTGTGTGGGTCCCCTGACACGTGGACTGTTCTCCGTGGTAACTCCTACGGTAGAGTGCCATCTGTGCTTGGCTAAGTCCGCGGGTGCTGAGGCACTGCTGTACGGACGGAGGCCGACTGTCGGTCATACCAGGATGCTTAATTGCGTGGAAGGCCAGCACCACCCCCACCCCCGCCTTACTCAGGGGTCAGCTGTACTTGAGAAAAACCCCGAAAGTACTCATATGATTTAAGTTAGCCTAACTTTTAAAATTATCCTTACAGTTCAAGCCAAAGGTGAGACTAAATAACCTCTTTCATTCTGTCCATCAGCTTTAGTGTCATTTACAGAATATCACACGAGGTATAGAATTGTCCTTCCTTAAAAGGCATCAGGCTCTCATGATTGGACCCCTTATTTTATGATCTTCAGATCGCTTATAAATATTCTTCCTCTTTTGGAATATCGTATTGCTGGCTTGGCTTTAAAAGGCACTAAGTTACCTGCAGTTCGCTCCGTATTTTCTATGTATTAGGAGTGGAGCTAACGTGTATCATTCGCTCGACGTCTTTGCTAATGAAACCTATTTGTATACAACCTACGTCCTCCAGAGCTCCACTTCTAGGCTCCTCTTTTCCAAGGGAAAACATATGTTGGCTATATTTTATGAAGGTGAGAATAAAGAAATAAATTAACTTTTTCTTTTTTTGGAAATAAAAATTTACTTTTTGGGAAATTAACTTTTTTCTTGGTCAGCAGCTTTCTTAGATCGTTGTCACTCTCTCCCTCTCTTTCTTAATTCTCAGAACTGCTTTGAGCTTTACATCCCCGACAATAAAGACCAAGTGATTAAGGCCTGTAAGACGGAGGCTGACGGGCGAGTGGTGGAGGGGAACCACACGGTGTACCGCATCTCAGCCCCAACACCTGAGGAGAAGGATGACTGGATCAAGTGCATCAAGTAGGTGGCAGGTGAAGCTGGCGACCTCGCCTCTCAGATAGTGACGCTCCAGCTGTCCCGTGGGCTGCCCATCCCGCCTCTGCGCCCTGTGTGCTGAATCCTTAGCGAGTAGTTTGACTGTGATTCCCCGGTGGCTTTTCCCTGGGTGTCTGGATTCTTGACCATTGAGCGTTTTTAAGAGTGCGCCTCACATCTAGGTTTCCCAAGTGCAGCTCGTGGCCCCAAAGAGGGGACAGGTGGGCAGGCTTATAGGCATAGGTGCCACTGGCCAGACTGGCCTTTTCACGTCTTAGGAAGTGGGTTTCGTCTTCATGGTGGCAGCTCAGCGGGGATTGTAACCGTTCCCTTTTATAATTTCTTAATCCTGTGAGGCACTGTTGTCCCATTTACAGATGGGCAGACTGAGGCCCATAGAGGGTAAGTAATGAATGCGTGTCAAAGTCACGTGGCCGTGATCCGGGGTTGCGAGGCAGAGCCTCATACTCCCTGCTGAGCTGTGAGGAAGTGGCGGTTCTGGGATAAGGGAGGTGTACACGGATCCTGGGGTCCAGGGCTCCTCCTGGCCCTCGCTGCACCTGTTTCACGGGGGAGGTGTCCTGCCCCGGCAGCTCCTCCTCCCCACGGCTTCTGTGAACCCTGCCCCGCCCGCCATCACACCCGCTGCCCATCACCACACCTGTCTTGCCCCTGGGAGTGCATCCTCGCTCTCCCCGCCAGCGCTGCGCCCATCAGACATGGCCCAGCCGTTTCCTTAGGGTGTCCCCATTACTGAGCCTCGAGGCTTCCCCAGGAGACTAGTGAGGCTGCACTGACCGGCGCCCAAGGCCCTGCGGGTCCTGCGTCGCCCCGAGTGATGGGCCTTCTCCCACCGGGGCCGCAGCCTGCTCCTGAGGGGCTGGGCATGCTCTAGTTTTTGTGGTGTTTTTGGCACCTCTACTAAAACAAGTGTAGTGTTTGGGCCAGGGTTAAATAGTGAATAAAGGGCTGAAGGGGGGCGAGATGATGTGGGGGGAAGGAGCAGGTCGTTCATTCCCACACAAAGAGCCTCTGGAACGTTGTGCGGTTCAGAAGGGCGGGACAGGAGAGCACCGGTTCGGAGTCAGGCCAGCCCGTGCAGAGTTCCCGCTCTGACTCTCCCAGACCCTCAGCTTGCTCACCACACAGCAGTGAGAGGCGGGGCTCCCTGAGGACTCCCGGGGACGGTGCCGCCCCCTTCTGGATGATGGTGTTAAGGCACAAGGCCCTTCTGAGGGTGAGACGGAGGGTGCAGCGCTGTGCTCAGCGCGCCGCCTGGACGGCTGTCGGAAGTGTGGTGTCATCAGAGGCCGTCCCACGTGCCGCGGAGCCCATGAGGCACCGCAGCGTTTCTGGCGTCACCACCAATAATGAGGCTCAGGGATCCTCTGTGCTGGACGCACCCTGAGGTCTGTGGAGGAGTAGCGGCGCCTTGGGGACCTGTGGCCACGGAGAGCTCCGCCTTACCCATGTCCCTGTACCCTTTTTTTTTTTAACCACGTTTTTTTTAAAAAATACTTGACTCTTTAATCCTTATGAAGTGTATTTTTTGCATGTGGTTTGAAGTAAAGGATGTAACCTTATTTTCTCAAGTGAGTGGCTGATTGTCCTGATACCATTTAGTAATCCATTTTGCCCAGTCTGAAGTGCCCTCTTTAGTGTGGACCGACTTCCTGTGTGTGCACGCTGACCGTGTCTCCTGTGTCTTTTGGTCTGTGTGCTGTCCCGCATGATCATTAGGGCATCAGAGCATGTGTTGACAGGGGATTGTGTGTAGCCTCCCCCAACTCATTGTTCTTTCAAAAAGGCTCTGTCTGCAGGTGTACATTCTGCCTTTCATGTCATTGTACTTCGGTAGCCAGAGAACCCGAGCCCTCCTTACGGTCATGCTTGGAATGGTTCAGTCCCTCCATCGAGGTGAATGCAGAGCCTCCTCGGGGGTGGATCCCGGGGTCTGCCCGGAGCTGGCCTCATCTCCTTGTGGGAGTTGCAGACACTGTTCCAGCTCCACGGCTCAGCGCCCTTAACCCTCCCCAGAGCCCTGGGAAGGTGGGTGCAGCAGGATGGTTGTCCCCAGGTGACGGATGAGGACACAGGCACAGCGAGGTGAATTCACTTGTCCCGAACCACAGACCCAAGCCTTCTGACTCGGGGAGCCGTCCTCCTCCACGTGCGGCGCTCAGCTCCAGCCGCCCTTGGCTCTGACGCTCTCCCAGTGAAAATATTGGGGCAGAGGCGCCAGAGGAGGGACCTGATTGGATGGAAGTTCTTCACGACGTTGCTGGAAAGGTTTTGCAGAAGGTCAAGTTGCAGGCACATTTTCTCTCATCAGTGCTCTTCCCAGGAGTTTCCAGCTACCTCGGTCCTGGTGCTCTGGGCACGTGGTCACACAGAATCGCGTGTCTCTGCAGACAGACCTGCAGCGCAGCGACGGTGGCCACTGAGGGAGAGCTTCTGCCGCCCGGTGTCGTCTCTGCTCTGCCTTCCCAGGGCTGGGGCGGAGTGTCTCCAGGGACCATGTGAGGACGGCCGTGAGAAGCACATGTATGTGCAAGGCCGGGGCAGAGCTTCCAGCCCCAAGCACTTCGCTGTGTCCTGGCCCCCGTCACGTGGACTGGAGATGTCCCGCGGTGTCCCTGGGGGCTTGGCCCACCCAGGAAGCGGAGGTGGACTCACCCTAATGCTCTGAAGGTGGAAGCAGGATTCCCTCCCGAGCACTCCGAGTGGCCAGATGCCTGCGTGGCGGGGTCCCTCAGGATGCGTTCCGGGCCCTGTCCAGCTCCTGCCTCCCCCGGAGCTGAGTTGCTCTTTCGCACGGACACATCCTCTCTGTGAACGGGGCCCGGTCAGCCCGCAGGAGCCGTCATGCACCTGGTTAAGTGCGGTCCCCAGTCATGTGGGCTTGTGACTGGCCCAGAAGCTATTTGGCACCTGGAATACTACGTCTCAGGAAAAGCAAATTAAACTTCAAAACGTGGATCACACCTTGCTTGAAAGTGGAGAATGACAAATACAGAGGGACGGCGGATGGCTGAGGCCTGCCATCACCACCTGTGCTGGTGTCTCTGGGGCCAGTGCAAGGGCTGCTTGGGCTCCCTCCCCACCAGGCTGTGGACACAGAGCAGGCTGCTGGCCGCTTGCTTGGGCCCTGACTGCCCAGTGATGGGTCTTGGCTGTCGAGCTGGTGCTCTTGGGGACTCAGAAGTTGCTCGGTACAGAGGATGGCCGCCAATCAGATGCACCACGTGGCAGGGGACACACGGGGTTGTGTGGTGGTCACTGTTCCAGACAAATGCCACTGTCATGACGGAACTAAAGCACTGCACTTGTTTTGCTGCGTTAGAGCACAGCTGTGAGGGCGTAGAGGATTCCTAAACTTAAATTTATTACTTGGTTGAAATAGGCAATAAGCACCCCACAGTGACCTTGTCGCCTGTACCACGTGTCTCCCTCAAAACTTGTCTTTTACGGCACATGTGGACACAGTGAAGGTTGATGCCGTGACGTGGCCTTTAAAGGGACAGTCGAGCAGGGAGGGAGTCTGGGGCACGGCTGCTGCTAGGAAGCCCCTGCCTGGGGTCGTGTCTCCTGGTCCTGTTCCTCAGTCTCCTCTGCTTTCTCCCCTTTTCTGTGTTGCAGGGCAGCCATCAGCAGGGACCCTTTCTACGAGATGCTAGCCGCACGGAAGAAGAAGGTCTCTTCCACGAAAAGACATTGAGTCTACGCAGCCAGCAGGGCCGGTGTGCCCGGCGAGTGAGGCCCAGCGAGTGAGGCCCGGTGCAGCCTCCCTGCCTCCCGTGCAGTGGGAGCGTCTTGCCAGGCATTGCCCTGAGTTCCTAGAGACTAGCTTCAGCTTTTGCTAATTTTTTTAAGTGGGAGAAGGGTAGGCAGCTACCCTTGGAGAAGGGGGCCTGATGCCTTCACACTTGGGTTTTGAGCCTTTCTCTCTAAAAAGAACAGAGCTCCTGTCGGCCATGCTGCCTCCCCGCAAGTCTCCACTCAACAGGTCTGATAGCAGAGCTCGGAGCCGACCATTTACCTCTCGGTTATTCCCTGGGAAGAAGCCTTCAACCCTGCACCATAAATATGTGTACCCATATCTTATTTTATGTTAAGAAAAAAGTGGAATGGAAGAGAAGCCACATGCTATAAAGATATATTTTTGTCTTTTAAAGAAAGAGAAAGAGAAGGTAGAGCTGTCCAGGCATTCTGCCTGTCTGCTTCGGGAAGCTTCTCCCGAGAGAAGAAGCTCCCTGGGCCGCCGCTGTGCATGTCAGCCCGGGCAGGGGCAGGGGCCAGGCGGGCCCCCTCCTCATGCTTCTGGGGCCTCGTCTGGGTGAGAGAGGGGGTGGCGAGAGGGGGGAGGGGGCTGCGCGGCGAGGACAGACTCGGGGCCTGCAGGGCAGCACCGGCCACTCCAGCTGATGCTTTTCCTTCCAGGTGCCTGGGGAGCACTGCGGGGAGAAGGGAGCCCGCCCCCCGCCTGCGCTGTTCCTTCTCTTTCAGGACTCGTTCTTGTCGGGCTTTAAAATAGTCAGCATCTTTCCTTGAGCTACATACCTAATAACCAAAACTGTGAGGAAGGTAGTCCCATCAGAGATTCTGGGATAACCTGTTTCTTATTTGGTTTTTCTTCCTCCTGCCCCTGAACTCCATTCCTCGTTTTAGAGGAAGGAGCAGGTCTGACCCCATCACCTTAGGGCTTCAGCCTTTTCTGCCTCCGAACTGGCCTTCACCTGGACTCGCCGTGCGTGTGGCGCTGGCCCTTGGAGAGGAGCGGGCCTTCATCTGCGCGGCAGGGGCGGGTGGGGGGAGCCGGAGGGCGAGTGGTCGGCCTCCCGCTGGAGTCGGCCTTGCCCTCCTAACGCGTGGCCTGAAGGAGCCGTGGCCGCCGCTCTCCTGCTGTTCTCTCAGGGACTCTCGTCCGGGGCCCGGCGCCCGGTCCAGGCAGAGCAGGGCTGGCCGGGCCATTGCAGCGCCAGTGTGACCCTGGCTCCTCTGACACCTTCCGGGCGGGCTCACATCTCTGGAAATGGCTTTTGTAAAGGGGAGTGGTGGGGTCACTTTCTGGGGTCCCCCCTTCATGTAGGTCCTACCTGGAGTGGCTTCAGGCGTTTTAATGCCAGAGCTCGTGAAGGTGGCAGAAGAGGGTCCAGGCTGGGAACCTGAAATTTCTGGGCGGGAGAACCAGGGTGGTGCCAGCCGAGGTCCAGGGGGTCTGGGTCGGTGCTGGAGCCCCTCTGGCTATCTGAGTCCCTGGCCCTGGTTCTCACGAATATTACCTAGACAGAGAGGCACCTGGATCAGTATTAGTCTATTTATCAGAGGTGTAAATAATCCATGTATAGTTTTTCTCCTTTTAGATTATTTTGTATTTGTTTTAAAAAAAAGTTTTGTCAAAATATAAAGAAATGACTGAAAGTTGTTGACAGGGTTTTTAAAAAAATTATAATTATTCCAATCGGTTTTTGTTTGTCTGGTTTTTTTTTGCATTGTAAACTAGCGCCAAGGAACTGCAGCAAATAAACTCCACATCTGCCCAAACCACTTTGTTGCCTGTGGCGTTGCTTCATGCCCACATGGGCCCTGAGAAGGAAGGTCGTGCTTGTCAGGTGCACTTCCGCGGGAGGATGTGTCACTTGAACCTCTCGTCTTAAGTCTAGTGATGATAAAGATCGGAAGTGGCGAGGATGGTTGTGTCTTCCGTTAAGGAGAGCGGAGCAAAAATGATCGTTAGCATAGTCATTCCCCACCCCCCCGCCCTTTTTGGAAGGAGAAACAAATGTCAGACATCAACTTCAAATTAAGATCAAGAAATGTGCCTTCAGCCTTTATAATACATTCTTAGTATTATTTCATTTTCCAGATGTGCCTACATAACGCCAGGGAAGAGTCACAGTGAGGTAGAGCTCAAAAGTTGAGAAGACATTCAGCATAGCATCTCAGGGTAAGGAGATGGACAAGCCTTAGCCTGTCCCCTCGGCTGGTGGTTCATGAGAACATGCAATGTAGAGTTATTATGTGATCCAGCAATTCTATTCCAAGGTACATGCCCAAGAGAATTGAAAGCATGTCCACACAAAAACTTGCACACGACTGTTTATAGCAATATGATTCACAACAGCCAAAAGGTGGAAACAATCTAGATGCTCATCAACTGATGAGTGGATGAACAGACTTTCGTCTGTTCATACGAGGGAGTATCATGCGGCTGCAAAAAGGAATGAAGTACAGATTCGTGCTGTGACATGGCTGAACCCTGAAAACGTTATGCTGAGTGAAAGAAGCCTGACACAGAAACCCACAGTTTATATGATTCTTTTCACATGCCGTTCTTTTTTTTTTTTTTTTTTTTTTTTTCAGCACGCGGGCCTCTCACTGTTGTGGCCTCTCCCGTTGCGGAGCACAGGCTCCGGACACGCAGGCTCAACGGGCCATGGCTCACGGGCCCAGCCGCTCCATGGCACGTGGGATCTTCCCGGACCGGGGCACGAACCCGTGTCCCCTGCATCGGCAGGCGGACTCTCAACCACTGCGCCACCAAGGGAAGCCCCTATATGATTCTTTTCATATGCAGAAAAGGCAAATCTATGGAGAGAGAAAGTAGATTGGTGGTAGTCAGAGGCTGGAGATGTTGGGGAGAATGGGGAGTGACTGCCCATGGGTACAGGGTTTCTTTTTTGGGGTGTTGAAAATATTTTGGAGTTAGTCGTGTTGGTTACAGTGTTGTGGGTGCACTAAATCCCACTGAATTGTACACTTTAAAAGGGTGAATTTTATGATAAGTGAATTACATCTCAGTTTTAGAACAATAGCAGTGAACAGATGCCATCACTTGCCATGGTTTTACTTGTTCTCAAAGTGTGGTTCCCTGGTCAGCATCTTCAGCAACATCTGGGAATGGGTTAGGAATGCACATTCTCAGGCCCCCGCCACACTGACGGAATTAGAGCCTCTTGTGCTGGGGCCTGACACAGTTTAACAGGTTCTCCAGGTGCTTCTGGTGCCCAGTAGTGTTTGAGAACCACTGGCTTAAACGACCACCCTGATTCCTTCCATTACCAAACTGAGGTTTGGCCGCTCATCGTTTAAGAATCCAGTGTCGAGAGACAAATGTTGGGTAAAAGGAAAGATACTAGCTTTATTGAGGAAGCTGGCAATCCTGCAGAGAAGGTGGACTCGTGTCCCAAAGAAGCAATTCCCCCTTGTCGACTGGGCGCAAGAGCTTTTAAAGGGGAGTCTCAGGGGTTCACAGGCGGGGTTGGGGGGCCATATGCAGAGCAGCACAGTCAGCTCTGACGGTAGCCTTGAAGTTGCTCACGCAGAGGTCTGATCAGCGTCATCTTGATTCAGTTAATCTTCGACTCCAGGGTCAGTTTGTTCCCATTTCCTTGAGGCCAGTTCTTGGAATTGTGCAAGATGGAGCAGCTTATGTCTCATGGCTACGCTCTGGTCATCATGTAGTTAGCTTCTTCCTCCTGGTCGGGGTTTCAGTACCTGCAAAGCAGCTCAAAGGACATGGATCAGAATAGTACCCATAGCCCTTAGGAGGAACTAAAGGTCCTCGAGTTTGTTTAATGGTTGAACTATTATTATTTTGTCTTGTTTGACTATTTTCCTCTGTTTCTGCATTTTCTCATTTCTCTGATTAAATTTATTCTTTGGCTAAAGTTCTTCCAGACAAGAGGCAGGTGGAGGACATGGGGAGGGTGGGTGTCTGTCCCAGGAAGGCCCCAAAAGCCCCAAAAGGTCCTGCGCCATTACACTTCCTTCACTTCATTGCTAGGCATACATACACACACACGCACACACACACACACACACCACACACACACCAGGCTTAGTGAGGTATAATTCTGTACCATATAATTCACCCATTTGAAGTGTACAATTCAGTGAGTTGGTATATTCACAGAGTTGTTCAGCAGTGAACATGATTTTAGAATATAATCATCGTTCCCGAAACAAACCCTGTTGTACCCATTAGCATTCACTCATCTCCCCACAGCTCTAGGCAAACACTAATTTCAGCCTCTGTGGATTTGCCTATCCTGGACATTTCATAGAAGTGGAGTCATACACTGTGTAGTCCTTTGTGCCTGACTGCTCTTAATTAGCACAGTTTTCAAGATTCATCTGTGTTGTAGTTTGTGTCAGCACTTCATTCCCTTTTATAACCGAATAATATTCCATTTTATGGGTACACCACATTTTTATCCATCCATTGATGGGCATTGGGTAAGTTCCACTTTTTGGCTACTCTGGACAATGCAACCATGAACATTCATATGCAAGTTTTGTGAGCGTTGCTGGAGTTTTTGACAGTTCGTCCTATTGCATCTATGGCCTTGCTTGCCATTTACTTCTCAGCCGAGTGCCTACCTCGACTCCCTCCTCTCGGCTTTGATGGACGAGTCTGGGCTCACCTACCTCTTGGCCAGCTCAGTGTCAGGCTCTTTCATTGGCCTCTCTGCCCACCCACCACCTGCTGATATTCCCCGGGGCTCTAGCCTCTAGTGCTCATAAGCTTCCTGGGTAGGTGACCAGTCACATGGTTTCAACTGCTACTAACCATCTGGGGCCCTTAAATGTGCCTGTGTGATTCCTGTCTCTCCCCAGCACCCCCCAGGGGGGCACTGGGCCTCCCACACTCAGCATGCCTGCACCTGAGCTTATGCTCTGATCGCCCCAGGGGTGCTCCGTGTCAACATTTTCCCCTAGACTTAGCCTCGTGGGTGATTTTTTTTTTAATTAATTAATTTATTTATTTTTGGCTACATTGGGTCTTCGTTGCTGCGCGTGGGCTTTCTCTAGTTGCGGTGATCGGGGACTACTCTTGGTTGTGGTGTGCGGGCTTCTCACTGCAGTGGCTTCTCGTTGCGGAGCACGGGCTCTAGGTGCGTGGGCTCAGTACTTGTGGCACGCGGGCTCAGTAGTTGTGGCTCACAGGCTTAGTTGCTCCGCGGCATGTGGGATCTTCCTGGACCAGGGCTCGAACCCGTGTCCCCTGCGTTGGCAGGCGGATTCTTAACCACTGCTCCACCAGGGAAGCCCTCGTGGGTGATTCTTGTCCTAGCACATCTTTACTCTGGTGGCTGCAGAATGATGAGCCCCATCTCCAGTGCTCCCTCCAGTGACCAGTTGGCCCTCGGCATCCTGGCTGTGAGGAGGCTTTCCTTTTCCTATTTATATGCCTGTTAATGGCACAGATGCGTGGATTCCTATTTCTAGAGGTCTGTAACATATCATTGTCCTTAATGAATTTGATGCTCAAAATGTCCCAGATTTGGCCAGTGAGAGCCCTATCCGTCTGCTCCGTGTCCTGTGACATGTCATGCCCTGCATTTTCTTAGCACTGACTCCCTTCCTGGCATCACAAAATATTTCGGGATCACCTTGTACCCACCCTGCCTCAGCTCCAGGGTCAGCCATTTCTCTGAGGGGCGCTGGTTCCTTTTAGAGACCAAGATCTGGGCTCTAGGTGTGCTCATTGCTACTGGGGTGTCCTTGCTTCTTTGCCCTTTCAGTGAACAGGGCTGGGAAATGTGCGCATAGATAACACATGTATACGTACACACACACTAGGGCATGTACACATATATGTAACAGCACATACCTCATTGGGCTATAAGAGAATGAGATGCACATTTTAAAAAGCCAAAAAACAGTAGCAACTCTTAGCCCAGTGCCTGGACATGGAGCTCGGTTTAGTTATATCATCATCATTATTTTCATTATTATTGAAAACTAGGGAATCCTTTGCTCATCCAGCAGGGAAACTTTGATCCTCCACATGCCGTGCGTGAAATCCCAGTTTGGGGTCCAGAGCAAGGGGCCAGCTGACTCACCCCCTCACTCCAAGCTGGTGGACAGCAGCGCCAAATGCACAGACTTCTACTTAAAACGTGATGCGTGGATGTGCCCAGCAGCTGCGCCTCCGTACTGTAGAACGTCAGAGCCCTCCCCAAAGGCGCCAAAGAGATGCTTTGCTGGAAAGGGAAACGCTCTGAGCAGAGGATCACGTGCAAGCGATACATGCTGCTCCTGCAGGAAGTGCTCTGCTGTTTCTTTTCTTTCATATGTTATTCGGGTGTTGGCACAGCAAGGAAAGTACGGGGCCAGCCGCCACTTCAGGCTACTTGACACCGTGGACTCTGCCTTGCGGTTCCTGGGGAGGCCATTGTCTCACGTTACAGGACCACGATCTCCTCGCTGGATGGTCTTGGCCCCAGCATAGACGAGCCACAAGCAGCTCTGTGGTCAAGTCTGTGCTGTGGAGTGTCTCTTTCTCTCCTTTCCAGCCGAGGGTTCTGCTAGATTTTCATGGTTTAGATCAGCTCCAGCTTCTACCTGGAGCGAGCCGTTTCCTAACCTGGTTAAAACAAGCGGGCTGCTATGTGTGACCCGCTGCAGAGAAGACAGTAGAAAACCTCGGCCCTGTTAGCCACGGACGGTCATGTGACTTGGGTACCAGAACTCGTGTCCTGTACCAAGAGGGACAAGAGTGATTGCAGCCAGACTAGCCTCATCTTCCTTCATCTAGTCCTCCTCTTGGTTCGCTGCATTGCATCGCACGAAATCTACTTTCTACTCTTGGATTAGATCTTTGTACAAATTCAGTTGAAACACATCTGTTTATGTTTCCTACGGGTTCAGAATTCTGCTTAGCATCCTCCTGACAAGCGTCCTTAGTGATTATCATACACAGTCTCCTCCGATCTTTATGCTCTTAAGCAAGACGTAATTACAGTTTATTGAGCACCTGTGTCCTGGGCCTTTTCCTTCGTTTCTCCACTATCCCCGACTACCACCTAAAAAACTAGCATCCTGCCAGATGTTAACAGGTGCTCCTGAGTGTTACACAAACAGGTTTAGGACACGCCGGTTTGGGCCACGTGGCCAGCATCCCTTCCTGCAGCCTCTCCATATCTGCAGGTGTCCAAAGCACGCAGCGTCTCCTGGACCTTGTGCGTGGCGCTCCCTTGCAGGTGGCATCTCAGGAGAAGCCAGCGTTCGTTGGGCCGGCGCTGCCCTTATCTGGTCCATTCACCTTTCTCTGATGACCTGGGTAGGCCCGGCCCTTCCTGACTTCAAGGCTGTCACTGCCTCTCTGGCCAGCTCCACTTTCTTTGGGATTCTGGCCCTGCTCGCCTCCTAGTTTGGGCTCTTTCTTGCACCTTTCCTGGTTATTTCTTCCTTCCAGCCTCTGGGTTCTTACAGTACTTCTCATGGACCGTCTGTCTCCTGCCTCCTGGCCCTGCAAGTCACTCTGCCTTCCACTTGGAAGTTCCTCCACCTGCATCTTCCTGGGATGCTTCTTCTCATCCCTAAGATCCCAGCTGGGCAACCCCTACCACCAGGAGCCTTCCCAGCCCTCACCCCCCATTCCCCGCCAGCCCCCTGGCCTCTCTGCATCATGATTCACATCATGCTGACTCTTTCTTTTCTGTTTGGAAAGTAACGCTCTTAATTGTGCAGCCTGCCGAGTTTCACATGATGACCCTGAATTTTAACTTCTCAGCGGTTTGTCTCTCAGCCTAGGCAGAATCCACAGGAGCTTTCCTCACTTTGTGCTCACAGAACAACCCACGGGGATCGGGGAGGGGAGCGCTGCTTGGTCTTACACCAGCTTGGTGAACTCAGACTGGCTGAGTCCCAGGCCAGCACCAAAGGCCCTTCTGGAAGCTCTGCGGGGGCTTCTCCCACTGTTCGTGGCTTGATTTTACGTGGGGGCCGTCCGCCTCTTAGGCCTTGATCTCAAAGGGCCCTTTTACTGGGGACTGAGGGCCAGAGAGGACGAGTATTGACCCAAACGCTCTCCCAGTTTAATGAAAACGTCTGGATTCAGGGCCCAATTCTGATACCCAGTCTGGCCCCCCGTGACCACAGCCCTGCCTCGTTAGGGTGAGGCCCACGGGGCAGGAGTGTTCTGAGTGGCCTTTCCACAAAGCCACTGGGGCCCCGTGAACACAGGTAGCTTCGCCGAGCCTGGTTCTGTCCTGTGGGGTTTAGGGACGAGCCCCACAGAACCGCTTGTTCGTGACTCTGAGCAAAGTGAAGTCGGGGTCTCCGGGAACCGCTGTGTGATTTGCCCTTCATCTTGGCTGCCAGGAAGCCCAGAGTCAGGGACACACTTCCTCATGTGACTTGTTAATCCTGCTTTGCACTTTTATTTTTGTTAATAGACTTATTTTCTTAGAACAGTTTTAGGTTTACAATAAATTGAGGGGTTGGCCCAAGGATTTCCCATAACCCCTGCGCCTACACCTGCATAGCCTCCCCCGTTATCAACATCCACCACCAGAGCTCGGGGGGTAACTGACGAACCTACATCGACACATCATCACCCAGAGTCCGCAGTGTGCGTTAGGGTTCACTCTTGGTGTTTTACTTTCTATGGCTTTGGATAAATGTGTAATGTCATATATCCGCCATTATAGTATCATGCAGAGAGGTTTCACTTCCCTAAAAATCCTCTGTTCTCTGTCTGTTCACCCCCACTTCCCCCCAACCCCTGGCCACCCCTGATCTTTCTGCCACTGCCTACTGTCTCCATAGCTCTGCCTGTTCCAAAATGTCACAGAGTTGGAATCATACAATGTATAGCCTGTACTTTCCACTTTTAATCGTGTTTTGTCTTTTTTTTAAATAAATTTATTTATCTTTGGCTGCGTTGACTGCACACGGGCTTTCTCTAGTTGCGGCGAGCAGGGGCTACTCTTTGTTGCGGTGCGCGGGCTTCTCATTGCGGTGGCTTCTCTTTGTTTCGGCGCATGGGCTCTAGGCACGCGGGCTTCAGTAGTTGTGGCTCTTGGGCTCTAGAGTGCAGGCTCAGGAGTTGTGGCGCACAGGTTTAGTTGCTCCGTGGCATGTGGGATCTTCCCAGACCAGGGCTCGAACCCATGTCCCCTGCATTGGCAGGCAGATTCTTAAGCACTGTGCCACCAGGGTAGTCCCTTAATCGTGTTTTTTGACCCTTTATCCTGTTTTATCATTACCATAGTATATATTAGAATTTATAAGCTCATTCACTTTTTTTTTAAAGAGGAAGTTTGTGAATAAAATAGGGACAAAACTTTAAAAATTGCCTGAATACTTGGTCCATTGTTGGGCCTATCAGACACTTGCTTTTGTGTCTCTTAGGAGTTGTGTAATGCTTTCTTTGTGACTATTTGAAAAGGGAAGTGGAACCATCTACTGCAGAGTACCCAGCGCTGAAGAGATGCAGGGTGGCTTCCCGGGGGGAGCTCTGAGATTTAGCAATCTGTGATAACGTCACTTCTGACCCCAGCCTCTTGTTAGGACAGGAGGGCCTGGGACGGCCATGACACTTGTGGAAACGACCTTGCAGCTCCTTCTGCTGTGGGTTAAGCTTCCTGAGATGGGTTGACAGGACAGAGAAGTCCTTTCTCAAAGTGCCCTGGGAGCAATCGTCACAATTTGAAATTCTGTCCCCTCTCTGCCTTATTAGATTTTGCTGGAAGCCCTGTGGTTTGAGGGCGGAGGGGGGACACCCTCTGAAAACCTGTGGGCACTGGCCGGAGAATGTCACTTCTTGAAGGAATAGGCGCTACAGATGATGTGGAAATAAGACCACAGTTTTTGTCACTGTCATTAAAATGGTGATATGATTCTGAGAACTCTCAGCAGAGAGCTTGTTTTGAGAACCATCCAGAGACAGGGAAGTGGCCCCTGCTTCCCTTGCTGCCCCGCCTTTGCAAGGGCCACGTGCTCCACAGGCTGACCTCAGCCTTTGGGCGCTGGTGGGCTCTCCAGGGTGAGTGGTTTGTGCAGGCCAGCCTGTCTGCTTCAGCGCCATCTCCCCAGACATCAGCAGAACGTGGTCCCTCTAATAAGGTCACCCTGTATCGAAGGAGCATCAGGGGTGGAGCCCTCCTTTCAGCAGCCAAATGGACCTGACACCACCACGGGGCGTGTCTGGGTAGGTTTTGCTGCCAGCGAGGGTTCCAGCAGCATCTGTCAGAGCCAGATTGTACCTTTCGTGTTCCCTTCACTCTTCAAGCCAGTCTCTGCCAGAGGCATCGTGTGTCCCCCATCTGAAGGCTCACTGATCATCTTCTAGGAGTCAAAGCTGTGTCTCAGTCTGTTTTCTGAATCAGGAGTGAAGATACACCCCCTGTTGAGAATGCTGGACTTGATGAATCAGCCCTCTCCATGTGAAAAACTGTCATTTCTTTGCAGGGAAAGGTGCATGTCTGGCAAAAGCTTATGTATCTGTATCACCCAGAACCTCGAGGGAAGTGGTTCTTATTACCTGTGGGCCTTGGCCCCTCTGTGAAGCTAATATAAGCTACAGATGTTCTTCCCAGAAAAGTACAGAGGGAGCCCCAAGTGCAAAGTCGGTGGGGTCCCTTCCACGGCCCCAGGTTAAACAGCCCCCATCTGAGCCTGCATTCGCCAAACTCAGGGGAGCCCGAATGGATTGCGAAAGGAGGAAGCCTTGCATTTCAAAGTTTGCTTTTTCACTCTGTGTCTGCTCCCTATATGCTCAATACCTATTTAAAGAATAGGTATTCTTTAAATAGATCTATTTGTCTTAGTCTGCTCAGGCTACTGTAACAAAAAATACCACAGACTGGGCGGTTTAAATGACAGAAATTTATTCCTCACAGTTCTGAAGGCGGGAAGTCCAAAGTCAAGGTGGCAACCAGTTGAGTTCCTGGTGAGGCTGTCTTGCCTACTCGCTGTGTCTTCTCATGATGGAGAGAGAGCGGGCTGGAGAGAGAGAGAGAGAGAGAGAGAGAGAGAAAGAAAGAGAGAGAGAGAGAGAGAGAGAGAGAGAGAGAGAGAGGAAGCAGGCTCTGCGGTCTGTTGCTTCTGTTTCTCTGGAGACCCTGACTTACATAGACAGCAAAGAGAAACATGGGAAGCAGCCCCCTTGGGAAGGAATTCACTGAAGTGAGTCTGGGCAGATGTGCGGGGGCAGAGCTGGACCTCACGTCCTTTCATCTGCTTTACTAACTTTATGAACTCCTCGGCCTGCCCAGATGGCGTCAGCTCTTCCCGGGCACGTATACGCAGTTGACTCAGGTTGGCACCAAATCCACCCACACCTGTAAAGTATCTGCCCGTTGATGGCCGCTAGCATCTTAGCGTGGTACCCCTCCCTCAGGCGTCGGGTGCCACCTTCCCCGCGCACTCGAGGGGGACAGTTGTGGGTCTGCTCGGCGGTGCCAGGGGACTCCCTCAGAGGCTGCGGGCCCCCACGGGGATAGCAGATGCCAGATGTCACAGCCAGGGAAACACCTTGCTGAAGTTCAGATGTGCAGTGGATGGACCCCGGGTCTGGGGAGCCTACCGAAACAGAAGTTCAGGGGGTGTGTCGTGGGGACGAGGTGACTTTGACTCTGGATTGAAATATAAGGAAGCAAGGAGCTAGTCCAAGTCACCAAATATTTCTTGGAGGCAGCCAGTCAGTTCCCAGGGAGCGGAACCCAAACCTCAAGTAAATAGCCCTTGCCTGTTCCTTGGATAAGTACAGGTTCTGGGTGAAGAGCATGAGGCTACATACAAATACTGACACTGGCTGGTGGGTGTCTTATGTAATTGGCCCTGTTAAACTTTCCAAGCAATTATTGCTTATAACTTTACCTGTAGCTTTACCTTTAGCTTTCAAAGGTTGGGTCTGGACATGGCTACAGACAGAAAATGTGATGTGGGTGGTGTGTTGGAAAAACTCCCATTTCCCACTTCTCCCTTATGTTCACACACAACTCTTCACTGTGACGCTTCTGCCACCAGATGTGTGGGAGTTGCCCCCAACCGAGCATTCTCCGTGACACCAGCTGGATGTCCTACAACTGAACTCAATTCTGACACTGCCTACCCGGAGATGGCGTCAGATCCCACAGGTGAAGGGCTCAGTCCCACAAGGCTGCCCCCCTCAACTTCAGATGCCCAAAATCGAAGGAGGTGGGTCCCCACATTACCCACCACTCTGTCCATTTTGCCTGTAAACTGGCATCATATGTACTTATTTATAAATATTTCTTGTCTATATTTATTTACAAATATTATTTATATTTATCGTTGAAATTTTAAAACTACAGAAAAGCACAAGGAACAATACAAAAGCTCGTATTCCTACTACCCAGTATTTCCGACTGTTCACATTTTGTCACTTCCCGATCCCCTTCCGGTTTCTTAGAATAAATAAGTTAGGTATTCTGGCTTCCCCATAGGACACAGAAGGCTGGAAAGAGACACACTGCCATCCTAACAAGAGAAATCTAGATAGTCTACAAAATGATTCCAAGCCCATCAAGGAACGGAGATTATAGGGTGACAGCCTCGCCTGAAATCTAAGAAAGACAGGTCTCCAAGGAGAGCAAGAGACGGGGTCACAGGGCAGAGCTGGGGAGGAGATGGGCCGCGGTCCCGGTGGGTCAGGAGACTCAGCTGGAACTTTTAGCCAAGTGCTGCAGGCGCAGTGCAGGCAGGTGGAGGGGAGAGAACCGCTGGTGCTGAGACTCGACGGGTCCACCCCAGGGACCTCCCCGTGCGCTCACAGGAAGAGTGGAGGCAGGCAGGAAGGGCAGAGAAAGCTTCCTTGAAACCCACAAACCTCTCCTGACAGAACAAAAGCCTGCGGCCACTGTGGAAAGAACTACAAAGCCTGTCACCCCCGGGGCACAGGTGGAGACTCATTGAGGCTGGAGGAGCAGATACCCTCTGCCCCTCGTGGGGAGGTAGAGGCCGTCAGAGATCTCCTACCACTGGGAAGGGCAGGGCCACGAGAAAACCCCACCCTGAGATGCAGGGACATGGGGACTGAAGCCCAAACCCAGCAACAGAGAACCCCTCTCCCCATAGCCTGGTGCCCCAGCCCAGCCCAGCCCAGGCTGGAAAGTGTCCAGTAACAGTGATCCACTGCTGCGGCAGGGGGAGGGAGCCCCGTTCTGAGGGGCAGGCTCATCAAGAAATCCCAAGAACAAGAACGTTGAGAAAAGATCTTTGGCCCCCAACGCTCACGATTGAATTACCCTCCCTGAGGTCCACCAGCTGGGTTTCCTTCTCGCCCGTGGCCACACTGCTGCGTGAATCATCCGATGCTGGGAGGTGTTTTGTTGTCGATCCATCCACAGGTTTTTGTCTGTTCTGAATAAGCTGCCATGAACTTGCACAGACAAATCTCGGTGTGGACACGTGTTTCCATTTCTCTTGTAAATACCCAGGAGCAGGGTTGCTGAGTCTTAGAGCATGGGCATCTTTAAGGAGACCACCGAACTGTTTTCCAAATAAAGCTGTCCCTCACATTCCCAGCGGCAATGACCCGAGTCCCAGTTACTTTGCATCCCTGTCAATATTTGGTATTGTTGGTCTCTCTGATTTTAACCACTTAAATGGGTGTGTGACGGTATCTCATGGTGGTTTTAATTTGCATTTTCCTCGTGACTAATGATACTGAGCATCTGTTCGTTGGCTTGTTCCCTGTATTTCTTCTTTGCCGAAATGTCTGCTCAAGTCACTTGCCCATTTTTTTAAAAGTTCAGGTTGCCTTCTTGTTAAAGGGTTGTAAGCATTCTTTATATAATCTGGATACAAGTCCTTGGTTGGATATATGTGTTGCAAATATTTTCTCCCAGTCCAGGCCTTGCTTTTAAACTTTTTTTTTTTTTTTTTGGCCACACCGTGCGGCATGCAGGATCTTAGTTTCCCGACCAGGGATCGAACCCATTCCCCTTGCAATGGAAGTACGGAATCTTAACGACTTGACCGCCAGGGAAGTCCCTTAAACTTTTTAATAGTGTCTTTTGAAGGGCAAACGTTTTTAATTTTGATGAAATGATTTTATCAATTATTTTTCATTTATGATTTGTGCTTTTGTATTCTAAGAAACCTTGGCCTAACCCAAGATCACAAACATTTTCTCCTAGAAGTTTTACAGGTTTACCTCTTATGTTTAGGTCTGATCCGTCTTGAGTTAGTGTTTGTGTACGGTGTGAACTAATGGTCAAAATGAGCCCCTTGGCCTCGTTCCTGATCGTAGGAGAAAGCATTCTGTTTTTTTATCATTAGGTGGGGTGATAGTCTTAGGTTTTTCAGAGATGCTTTTTATCTTAAAAAGGTTAAAGGTGTTCTCATTTTTTCCCACTTTGTGGAGAGTTTTACTCATGAATGAGTGCTCAATTTGTTAAATGGTTTAACAAATCAATTTGTTAAATGGAGATTCGGCATAGGTGCAGAATCTCATGTGATTTTTCTCTTTCAGTGTATTAATATGGTGAGTTACACTGAATAATATTTTTAGTGGTAAATCAGCTTTGTGCCCCTGGGATAAAACACACTTGGCCATGGTTTTTAAAAACGCATTACTGGATTCAATTTGTTAAATATTTTGTTAAGGAGTTCTTGTATCTGCATTCATGAGGGATAAGGTGATATGGTCATTTAATCCATTAAACTAAATTGTCAGCTCCATGAGAGCAGAGTCTGCCTCTTCGGGTCATCTCTGGGTCCCCAGCTCCTAGACAATGCTTGGCACATAGAGGACCCTTGGGACCTGTCTGTTGAATAACAGACCATTAAGGAACGCATGACCATAAGTCACAGGCTGCTTTATGCCGGTCAGGATTGTGTGACTATTTTATCAGAACTTGTTTTCTGTAACCCAAGGGAATGTGATTCAGTGCGTTAGTAGCTTATCTGGTTGTTCTGACTCTTAAAGTAGTCCAGATTTGTAAGGATGGAGGTGACCTGGAGATATAAGTGGAGAAGCAGCGTAGGAAGGAGAAAGAAGGAGGCCGTTTCTGGGGTTTCACCCCTGTCTTCTGATCCTTGACCCATTTCTCTCCACCTGATGGGTGCTACCTGTTCGCTAAGCTCCCCTCCCTACCCCTGGATTAGGCAGCTACAGCCCTTTTCCTTAAACACCTGGTGGGTCCCGGTGCCGTTGCATCACCTTTGTGCACTATCTGAACAGACTGAGGGCAGGGCAGCTTATCCCCCAGGTGCAGCCAGCTCTCACGCTTTCACTTCCATCATTATCACTGAATCTTTACCGGGTAAATACCACGTGGCTATCACTCTGCTGTGCATAGTGCCCTTCATTTGTCTGGCGTTTCATGTAAGAAATCACGATGATGATCTGCTGACTTCCTACTATCATAATAAACATATTATTTCTTTGGTTAAGTAAACTCAGGACGCTCCTTGGAGGCAGACATTTGCACGGTCAGGACACTACAGAGAGGCGGTGCCCAAGGTCCCCAGACAGCACACGGTGCACAGGACCTGCGTGCCATTCTGATGATTGGGGCACCCTCAAGCCAGCCTTGGACTCAGGTAAGCACCTCGGTCTAGTGCTCTCCAGGTTGTGTGACTAAGACACTCATTTTCTTATCATGTGTTTGGCAAGTGGGATGTTTTGCAATAATATGCAAAAAGGTAATGTTATATTGATCCTGTCTCTTCCTACACAGATGTAGTTAAAAAGTCTAATCTAAGTGGGAGTTTAGGGGGAAACCCATTGACATGATTGTTTTCTTTTTTTTGCGGTACGCGGGCCTCTCACTGTTGTGGCCTCTCCCGTTGCGGAGCACAGGCTCCGGACGTGCAGGCTCAGCGGCCATGGCTCACGGGCCCAGCCGCTCCGCGGCATATGGGATCTTCCCAGACCGGGGCACGAACCCGTGTCCCCTGCATCGGCAGGCGGACTCTCAACCACTGCGCCACCAGGGAAGCCCTGTTTTCTTTTTTGAAATAATTTCAAAAGTACAGAAAAGTTACCAAAAATTATTGTATAAAGAACACCTGTATGGCCAGATTTACCTGCTAATATTTCACTCCTTTGCTGTGTTATTGTGTGCGCGCTCTCTCTCTCTTTATCATTTGAAAGTTTACTTGCATACACTCAGTCCTTTAGCTCTAAACCTTTCTGTGCATAATTCCTAAGAATAGGAATATCCACTTACATAACCGTAAAACCACGGTATAGTTACCAACATCAGTAAATTTAACACGGTTGCAACACTTTCGTCTGATCAACTGTTTGAATTCAAATTTGTCAGTTGACCCAGTACTATCCTTTATAGCATTTTCCCTCCAGTCCAGGATCCAGTCCAGAATCAGGCATTGCATTTAGTTGTCCTGTTTCCTTAGCCTCCTTTAATCTGGAATTCCTATGGCTTTTCTTTTTCTACTATGGCATGGACATTTTTTAAGAGTAACTCCTCACCCCTGCCTTTTAAAAAATAATAGATTGCTTCTCATTTGGGGTATGCCTCACGTTTCCTCGTGATTAGATGGGGGTTATGCATTTTGGGAAGGACCCTGTATAGGGAGTGCTGCATCCAGCACAGGGCACCCCATCGGGAGGCACGAGGTCCAGCGCCCCTCACTGGTGATGTGGGTGTTGACCCTCCTGGTCCACTGCATAATCGCTGTTTCATTATTCTCCCTGCAGCTAATAGGCAATCAGGGAGGAGACACTTGGAGATGATGCAAGAAATAGAATAGAATATTCTATTCTCATGAAACCTCCTTCTAGACTTAGCTCCATTGGTGACTCTCGCCTGCTCCAGTCTTCACCTGTCAAGCACTTTTACTTTCTATTCTTCCCCGGGAACCACACAAGGGCTGTGTCACTGAACTCAGGAGGATGCAGTCATCACCTGGTTTGTCCTTTTGACGGTTAACTTCGTTAGGAAGTTTTCCCGACGTTGATACACACCCTGATATAACGCACTGCAGAAAAGACCAAGCTCTGGCACAGGCTGACTTGCTTGGATCATCTGAGCGTGGCTGTGGTCCTTGGCGATTGAGGCTCTTTGTGTGTTTGCTAAAAGCTATGGGTGGCTTTCCCAGAATTTGCATACATCATGGATCCACTAAACTTTCTTACAGTTTCATTGATGTCCCTTCCTTAAAGCTGGTCTGTGGGCCCCACTATGAGGCCCCTGCCAAGCAAAGATACCAAAATGTTTTTCGCCTTGAAGGACTGACGTGCCTTCCTTTTTCACATAGCCAGTATTATCCTGCTGCATTCCCATGTTGTCCTGCCTTCCAGGAAACTTGTAGTAAAATGCAATGTTGTAGCTCAGCCCCAGCCTCCAAAGACTGGGGGAGAACGGAACTTACCTTTAGGCTGGAAGTGCGAAGTCTTGGCACGATCATAGATTCTGTGCTGAAACTCTCCAATGGAACACAGAACATCACAAAATTCCAGACTGTCAAGGGGAAATGGAAATCACCGGTATGGCCTTTTGGAGGGTGTTCGAGGTTGGAGGAGCTCTCTGCTACTGGAAGCCCGTCTGCAGTGCTCGACCTTAAGCACCGGGTTTGTTTGTACCCGTTTCATAGAAGAGAGGGCTGAGAACAAGGAAGCATAGCTCACTTACCGCCACTTGCACCGCTGGTAAATGGGAGGGTTGGGATTCAAAACCAGACCTGTTAGGATAAGCTTTCTTATGCTACAAGAATTGTTTGAGAGAAGCTAATGTAGGTTTATAAAACCCAACGAATTTTAGGACCAGAAAAAGATTTTTTAAGACAACCTGGTTCTCCCTCCTCATTTGATGGACGAACTGGTCTGCCCTGCCAGTCCCTTGGAATGGATAGACTCCCCCACATGAAAGCAAGGGTCTGCGCTGAAAAGTTTCTGTTTAGTTAGGCACCTGAATGGGAAATTACAGAGTGATTTCAGTATTTTATTAGGTGAATTGAAGCAGATATAAGCGAGATCATTCTGTGGTCAAATGCCTTACTTTAATATAAACTATTTTGAAATAGTGACTCTGTATGGTTTTCTGCTATAGTAGCTTTGGCTTTCCCTCATTCCACCTCAAATTAGTGAAAATCACATGCACAGATGGATTCCTCAAGCCTTTGGAATGTTCTGGTACTTTGTTTGTTTACATTTTTAATGGCCTTTTTTGCTGGGGTTCATCTCTACGTGATCCAAAGTTATTCAGACCAACTCTGACCCTAACTTGTTCTCCTGGTCCATCCTTGTCAACCACACTTTCAGAAATGGGCAAGGCCTGCTTGGTTGGGAACATCCCAGAGTGTCCACAGGCTCATCGGCTGTGGGCACTCATCTCGGAATGTTCTGGGAGCCTCGGAAAGGTTATCAGCTGGTTACAGATGTCTGGAGGGGGAAACACGCAGTTTGAAACTAACATAAAGCATGTATGATCTACAGATAGAGAAACAGATCAATAGATACATCAATAGAGTCCACATAGAATTTGGGGGGTTTGAAGGAACCTTAGCATTTAGTGTACCCCAAAGTTCCTCATACCTCAGTACAGAAAGGTGAGACAGCCCACGAGTAAATGATTTGCATGTGGTCATGTCCACAAGTTAGCAGCAAATCTGAGTCTGGGTCAGGTGTCCCAAGGCCTTGTACCACACCACATAGACTGCTCTGTCCAGAGTCTGCACTGACAAGGGGGCTTTTCTTTACTCTGTAAAGATACTGGCATCTTTAGGGAGCCCCAAAGGATTGGGCCTCCAGTGTGGCCTGTCCTTCTTGTTAGTTACGTAGGCAAACACATGTTCTCTAGAACACGTAGAAAATGGCTGGTGGATATCGTGTAACTGGACTCAGCACACCTAAGCAGGAAGGCAGGACAAAAGATTCAGGAATAGCACGACAGAGCCTCGCCCTAAGGAAGGGCCAGGCCATCCTTCCCAGGACCCCTGGAAAGGAGTCTTCAGGAGGCATCGTGGAGACGCTGGGGCACCTGGGGGAGGGAGTTCAGATCTGGGGAGATGGTGGGTCCAGGAAGCTTTATGAATTGATTTTCACTCCAATTAAATCTTGGAAGACAAGGTAGAATTTCAGCTTGGGTCATTGAAGGAGAGTGGGAAATGGCTTTGGGACCTTGGCAGAGGAGAAGGGGCCAGCTGTGAAAGGGCAGCTTGTTTGGACAGAGGGATGTAAAAACTGGTTTTATCGAAAAGAGATGTTTTTCTTTCCCATTGTCCTCATTGAGGCCATGCCTTACGTTTGGTTTTCTGTGCTCCTCCTTTGCAGCAGGGCTGGGGGTGGACCACTTGGCTCCTGGCTGCCGTGGGTGACCAAGTTGTTGCCTTTGCTCCAAAATCAAAGCAAATTAAACTTGCTTTTGTCTGATTAAATTATACGGGGCTTCCCTGGCGGTCCAGTGGTTAAGACTTCGTCTTCCAGTGCGGGGGGTGCAGGTTCAATCCCTGGTTGGGGAGCTAAGATCCCACATGCCTCGCGGCCAAAAGACCAAAACATAAAACAGAAGCAATATTGTAACAAATTCAATAAAGACTTTTAAAATAGTTCACGTCAAAAAAAACTTTAAAAGTAAATATAAATAAATAAATAACATCCAGGTGAGAGCCAGGATCAAGGCCACAAAAACTCTTCCGCGGCCTGGCCCACACGTCCCACACGTTCCCTTCCTTTTCCCACATATATTTAGGAAGCAGGGGGTTATAAGCACATATTTAATCTCAGCAAGACTCTCTTTGAAACAGGTTGCGATGCAGATCATGGTGATAAATCTCTAAGGCTGTATGTGTGTATGTTTGTCCACTTGAAACACTTACTAGATGAACCTAGCGTCAGGAGACCATGTTTCTCAAAACATTGTTCTAGAATTTCAAGTTATCGGCATGAAATGATACCTACAGCTCTCTAATATCTAACTTTCCGTCTTCCTATTTGCAGTGAGAACTTATGTTCTCATTCCTAACGTGTATTTGTGGTTTCTCTTTTTCTTGATTAATCTCGCCAGACGTTTGCTCGTCTTGCTATTGTTTTCAAACTGCTAGTTCTTGGTCTCATTTTCAGATCTAGGATGAGTTTTCCTGGGGCTTGGGGAGGTCTGGTCCTTCGTGTTTGCTTCTTTATTAACTCCTTCTTTCTTTATCCTGTGACGGTTGCTGTCCTTTTGTTTGAGTTCCATGCTCAGCACGTAGATGTCAATCTGTCTGTCTTAGAGCAGGTGTGGGATGCCAGCTCTCAATCCACTGTGTGCAGACATGTGATTCTGTTCTCATCTCTGCCCAGACATTTCTCTGACAGGCCCTCATTCCTGCTTGGCAACAAGAAAACTAAATTTCACTCCCTTTAACCCAGTAAACAATTCCGTCAGGCATTTCCCTCTAACAGCATCTGGTTTAAAGCTTCTTCTCTCTCAGATGTTAGTTAAACATCTGAGCCCATTCAGTTGTGAGCCCACAGCCTCCATCCTGTCCAGGCTCTTCCCAAGCCCAGGTGCAGCTTCCGGGGAGAAAAATGCAGCAGCCCGCCGTCCCCTTCCCGTCCCAGGAACCCACGCCTGCAGACTGCCGAGGGCGCCGGGCCGCAGGGTGTCACCCAGAGAAGTGCGTGCCCACGGCTGGCTGCAGGCTGTGGGGTTGCAGGTTCCCATCCGATTCTTGGTGACTTCTCTGGCGTCACATGGTGACATCGTCCCCTCCTGTCTCAGGCATCGTCCTCTCCTTTAGGCATCGTCCTTAGGCGGTCTTTGGGCATTGTCCTCTCCTGCCCTAGCCTCCCAGTGTTGGGATCCTACAGAGGCTCTGCTCAGCCACCCCTCTCATTCCTATGAGAAGGAGAACTCCCAGCTCACCATCCAGTGGGTGACACTTTGGCGGGGCGGGGCTGGTCCTCTAGCCACGTCTGTGGCCTCCCTGGGTCCACAGGAACCTGAGGAACCCTGTCCTGCCCACCTTGACATGATGAGCGGGCGGGTGGTGGGACCTGCCTCTGCCTGGCCCTGCTCACCCCGGCACTGACGTACCTGCAGGTTCTGTCTCTCGGCTACCTTCATGGGAGGGAGGTGCTTCTGCCGAACCCCACGCCCTTCAGGCTTCAGGGAAGACGATCTTGTCCCTACGGGGGTAGGGGGGAACTTCACCCCGGCCCCCAGCACACAGTTTGCTGTCCTTTGTCACGTGGGACAATCTGCTGGGGTCGGGGTGGGGGCACGGGAGGGACAGCAAAGTGGTGCAGTGTCTTCAGTTACTGCTGAGGACCACCTTCCTTGCAGAACATACGAACGTGCTCTTCTTCCTCGTGATGTCTTCCCTCCGGAAGCAGAGTTCTGAAAGGGAGAGAAAGGCGGGGGTGTCGTCGGGCAGCCTCCAGTCTCGAAGCCTTTCCCTTTCCTCTTTCCTTCCTGGTCCACAGTGAGAAATCATCGGGCCCTCTTGTTGTCCAGGACCGGCCCTGGTGTGTGAAACAGGAGTTAAAGGAATGAAGGGGAGGATCCCGCCTGCCCCTCCCAGCTTCTGGCGGCTGCTGGCAAACCTCAGCGACCCTCGGTGTGTGGCTGCATCTCTGTGATCTCTGCCTCTGTGTCACATGGCCTCCGCCCTCTGTGCCTCTGCTTTCTCATAAGGACACTCTCATTGGATTAGGGCCCACCCTTATCCAGGAGGATCCCATGTAACTAATTACATCTACGAAGACTCTTTTTCTAAATAAAGTCTCACACATAATTCCAGGTGGATGTGCATCTTTGGGGGGCACTATCCAGCCCAGTATGGCATGGGACTTGGGTCTCTGCCGAAGCTGTCACCTTCCCAGGATCTCTTGGTTCCTCCGCCAATGAGCAGGCCAGGCCCGGGGGGTAGTGGAACGTCTGCGGCTCACGTTCCTTTCCCTGGACTCTCCACCTGCCGCGGAAGCGCCGCCACAGCTACAGGTGTTTTGGAGGCTGGAATGCAGTCTTACGGGCCCTGAATAATCTGAGCGTCACTGGGAACACCCACATCCTCACTCCCAGGAGACGATAGAACACTTCGACCATTGTTGTGAGTGGCTGTTCCTTTGAGACCCAAAGCAAGAGAGGTGGGAGGTCCAATGTCAGCTGACAGCGCTGAGTGGCCTGGGCTGCGTTTATGGTGTCTGGTGCCATCGTGCTTCTGCCTAGCCAGGTCGTGCACCGCATAGAGTGTCTGCCACCACGTGAGAGTGAGCGTCAGGCCTGGGGACCTAGTCTAGCTGAGGGTTTTCGGGCTGGGGGAAACGTAGCTGTCACCTGGTCTATTGATGCTCCAGGTGGCTGCACGTTGCAATGACTCGGGAATTTTTAAAAGGACTGATGGCTGAGTCCCAATTCTAATGTGAATTAAGTATGTGACTCTATTAGAAATAGATTCTAGTGTGAATCCTGGAAATGGGGTGTGGCCTGGGCTTTGGGGTTTTTTAAGTCTATTTTTAAAAACAGCTTTATTTAGATATAATTAACACACGATTCACCCAGTTTCAAGTGCGCAATTCAATGGTTTTCGGTAGAGTCACAGGGCTGTATATCCGTTATCACAATCTTATCTTAGAACTTTTTTTTTGCCCCTAGAAGTAATCCCAGACTCATTAGCAGGCACACCCCATTACCACCCCCACTATTCTCTTAGCCCCAGGCAATCCACTTTCTCGAGATCTGTCTATTCTGGTTTTGCATATAAAAGGAATCATATATATGAAGCCATTTGTAACCGGCTTATTTCCTAAACATAATGTTTTCAGGGTTCATGCACGTTGTAACATTCCTTTTTATTGCTGAATGCTGTTCTATTGTATGGATGTGCCACATTTTATGTATCCATTCATCAGTGAAGGACATTTGGGTTCTTTCCACATCTGGGCTATTATGAATAATGCTGCTACGAACATTCACGTACAGGTTTTTCTGCGGAACATTCGTTGCCTTAAATTTTACAATTTCCTGTCAATTTATGAATGTCTCAAAAGAAGAAGTTGGTTATCACCTCCCACTAATATAGGATAAACCAGCCTCCTCTTGGTAGTATTTGCTTCTCATATTTACTCTCGATCTTTCTGTAATGAAACAGAATCTCTTGTTATTAAAATGTAGCTTGCTATCAATTTTTTGGTCCAATCTGATAACCTCTGTCATTTTACTGGCAAATTTAGTCCATTCACAATCATAATTACTATTCTGGATTCGTATCTACCATATTATGAAATTTCTTGTTCCACATTTCATATGTTTTCCTCTTTTCTTGTCTTTTTCTTTTTTTAATATTTATTTATTTATTTGGCTGCACCAGGTCTTAGTTGAGGCACACAGGATCTTTTAGTTGCGACATGCAAACTCTTAGTTGCGGCATGTGGGATCTAGTTCCCTGACCAGGGATCAAAGCTGGGCCCCTGCATTGCAAGCGTGGAGTCTTAGCCACTGAACCACCAAGGAAGTCCCTTTTCTTGTCTTTTTAATTGAGCTTTCTTTAGTTCATCCCTACCGCCACTAGTTTGGAAGCTACATAGATGTGTATTCTTTTTTTAGTTAGCCTTACATTGTGAATACTTTGTCTAAAAGGAATGAATATTTCTCATCTACTCTCAGAAAATAGAAGAACCATAGAATATTTCACCTTCTATCATCTCTCCCATTGTATATTTTTTAAAAAACCTTTTTTTGAAACATTCATAAACTGACAGGAAATTGTAAAGATAGTACAGAGAGGTCCTGTGTACACTTCACCCAGTTTTCCCCCGTGGTTACATCTTACGTAATTGTAGTATAATATCAAAACCAGGAAATTAACACTCATAAAATGTATGTATAGTCCTCTCATTTTATCAGATGTATAAATTTATGTAACCACCACAATCAAGATACAGGAGTGTTCCCTCACCACAGAGATCTCCTCACAGACATCCTTTCAATAGTCACACCCATGACCTTGTCCCCTACCACCTGTAATCCCTGGCAAGCACTGATCTGTTTTCCATCTCTATGATGTTGTCATTTTGACAAAATTATATAAAATCATCCTCTATGTGACCCTCGGAGATGGGCCTTTCTACTCAGCATAATGCTCCTGAGATCCATCCACGTTGTGGTATACATCAGTAATTCCTTCCCTCTTTCTGTTAAGCGCCGTTCAACAGTATGGATGCACGAGTTTGTTTACCCGTCCTACTTCTACTGTAGGACATTTTGCTTGTTTCTACTTTTTGGCTACTCTGAATAAAAATTGCTCTAAATAATCATATAAGGTTTTTATGTGGACATAAGTTTTTTTTCTCTAGGATAAATGCCCAAGACTACGGCTGTTGGGTCATATGATAACTGTCTGTTTAGATTTTAAAGAAACTACCAAACTTTTTCAAAGAGACTATGCCATTTTACGTTCCCACCGGCCATGTAGAAGGTATCCAGTTTTTCTGCACGTTCAGCACTGGGCATTAACATTATTTTTTATTTTAGGTGTTCTAATAAGTATGCAGTGATAGCTCTTTTTGGCTTTAATATTTCATTTCCCTAATGGTTTAGTTATGTTGGATGTATTTTCATGTCCTTATTTGCCATCTGTTTGCCTCTTCAGTGAAATATCTCTTCATTTTCTGACCTATTTTCTAATTGGATTTTTTTTTTTTTTTTTTTTTACTGTTGAGTGTTGAGAGTTCTTTATCTATTCTAGATACTGGATACGTGCTTTGCAGATACTTTCCGCCAGTCTTAGCTTGCCTTTTCATCTTCTTAACAGGGTCTTTGAAAGAGCAAACATTTAAAATTTTGATGAAGTCCAGTGAATTTTTTCCTTTTTTTTCCCCAAAAGGTGTTGCTAATCTGAAAGCCATGGCCCTGGATGAGTAAAACCCTCTCCCTGAGCCCGTCTGTCTCCCTGCGTCCTCTGACAGCCTGAGTGTGAGAAGAATCCCCCTCACTGGGGGCGAGCTGGCCTTCCTGACGCTTTTCCTATGGGCCGCATTCTCGCTGTTTCAGCCATCGAGGCAGCCTGACCCTGCTTCCTTTGAACGACTCTTCAGGTATCTGAAATCAGCTTTCTGAGGTTCTTGTCTCCTCTTTTCCAAAGGAAGAGGGTGTCCGCTTGCTGGGTCATTGGTTGGTCAGGCAGGATGTGTCGGATGGGCTGGGGATGCTTGGGCCCCTCCTGGCCCACTCCCTCCGTTCAGCACAGCGGGCCCTGGTCAGCCCTGTGGGGTGGACAGAATGAGGAAACCGAGACCCCTTGGTTCGCCTTAAAGAGTCTCTGGTTGTTTGCAAGCTCCGTACACGTTCCCAAATCCTGGCTCATGTGCCCCAAGAGGCCTCGCGGGCAGGCGGACCCCAGGGAAGAGAAAAGCAGGGCCCTGCAAGTGTCACACCTGCAACAGGTGTGAGCCGGCCAGGCCTCCATTTGCTCACTTGCGGAGCAAAAGAGGCAGAATCTGCTGTGCAGGTGCCATCAGGGGGACTCAGGAATGCCGGGCCTCCAGCCTTCCGCTCAGCACAGAGGGACCTTAGTGATATCATGAGAACAAGGACAAACACGGATGGAGCTCATCCCAAGCCAGGCCAGGCTCCAATGCATTTAACCTCTCAACAGCCCAGAGCCAGCCCTGCCCGGTGCCTCGGCCCCACAGCTGCAGTGCAGGCCCAGACAGGTGTAGTGATGTGAGCAATTCACCCGGCAGGTAAGCGGCAGAGAGTCTCCCGGCGATGTGGCTGGGGAGTGGGAGCCCGAGGCCACTGGGCTCACTGCCCTCCCGCGTCCACTCGTGAATAGAAGCTGCCTCCTGTCCCAGGCGTGTGTTTGGATCAGTGGGTCATCCTGCTTCTCTTCTGAGAACCACATGCACAGACACCAGACCGATGAAGCTCCTGGGTTTGCATCTCTGTGGGGTGGTGTAACCCAGGCAACTCTGCTGCTGGGGCTGGTGAGGGGACGGCGCTCCCCCACGATCACGTTCATCCATATGACAATTGGGAGACCAGCGAAGAATCTGGCCAAAATGGTAAGTCCTGAGGCTTGTTTGGGAACCGTCAGGCCAAGCAAAACCAGATTGGAAACTGTATTTCCAGATCTCCATTCAGATCGCTATCTTCGTGATTCCCAAAACTGAAGTGTAAACACACAGAAATCCCCACTTAAAGTCTAAAAATGCTGTTCTTATAATTCTTCTAAAGACCTCAAATTGTGGAGTGTTCTTCTTCAAAATATTTTGAATCTTTGCCCCTGGGAATACTGTCTTTTTAAAATCAGAATCTTCAGTTTCCCATCTGGGCTCATGACTAGATAGATTTCCACGTCACTGGGGCCCAGATTTTTCATCTCTAATACCCTCTTCCAGGTCGGCGGCCTCAGACACTTGCCCAGGGCTGCTTTCCGTCCCCCATGCCTGGTCCTGGGGCAGGCTGATGGTTCCCTCCACTACACCTGGCCAGTTCTGGTCACTCCTGATGGCTCTCCCTTCTTGGGGCTGCCAACAAAGCCCCACAAACTGGGGGGCTTAAAACATCTCACAGTCTGGAGGCCAGAAGTCCGAAATCAAGGCGTTAGCAGGGCTGTGCTGTCCTTGGAGGTGTAGGGGAGGGTCCTGCCAGGCCTCTTCCAGCCTCTGGTGGCCCCAAGCATTCCTTGGCTTGTGGCCACATCACCCCAATTCTGTCTCCATCCTCACATGGCCTCATCTGGGTCTGTGTCTCAAATCTCCCTCTGCTTTTATCTTATAAGGACACCAGTCTTTGGATTTGGGCCCCACCCTAAATGGAGTTGGGTTTCAACTCAGAATCCTTTACTTAGTTACATCTGCAAAAACCCTTTTTACAAATGAGGTCATGTAAGGTTCTAGGCAGACAGGACTTGGACATATCTTTTTTTGAAAAACTTCATTGAGATGTAATTCACATGCCATATAATTCACCCATTTAGTGTACAATTCAATGGTTGTTCATGTATTACATTAATTTTTTAAAATTGCGGTAAAAAATGTACACATATCTGGGGTCACCTCATCTCTCACCTGCTGCACTGGCCATGGGCTTGACTCATGGGCATGGGGTGGGGAGGGGGGCCATTTCCCTTCATTTTCAGTTACTCCCTTGGGTCAGCCTGTGTGGCCCTTGGGCTGCCTTTGTGGGCATTGTGTGACAGCCATAGGGCAAAGCCCAGGGCTGACCATGTGATCAGAGGACTGAAGTCCCCCTTACCCCCGCGGGTCCTGGGCATACTTGTGACACCTGAATGGGGAAGGGGGTGATTCCTCAGCGGGATGTTTTGGCTCTGCCCATCTCTCACCCTTGCGGTCCGGGGTCCGTCAGGGGCTCCCAGGTCCGGCCTCTGCATTGTGGTCCCCTGTGCTGCGTCCTTCCTGGTTCCCTTCTCTCTTTCTGGAGACGCACCTGGCCTGGCCTGTTCTGCCCGGATAGGTTTGGGCTGGATGGTCACTGATATTGCACTCTGACCCTTTCTGTAAGTGTTGCTCTCCGGGTGACTTATATATATGTTTATGGGGTTTCTTTTTAATACCCCAGGACGTTATTTAAATGATAAGAGACTGTGACACAGAGGCTTTTGCTGAGATTTCGGGCAGGTGGGCATTTTCCTCCCTTTGAAACCTGGCTGCCTCTGCAAGGGGACGGTGAGGTAGCTGAGGACCAGCTGCTGCATCGCCGGGGAAGTGCGGATGGGGTGGGGCCACGGGTCACAGAAGTGGCGCTAGGAGGCTGATGAAACAGCTGACAGCTCAGCCCTCCATCACCTGTGAAAATGGCAGGAAAAAAGCAGAATGTTCCATGTCATTTAGCCAGTCCCACGAAGCTGGTTCTCTGGGGCACTTTAGCCAGGAGGACACGCTCCCGCATTTGCTCTGAGGCCATATTATCTCACGCCTGGGATTTCAGAAGAGCTGTCACCCTCTGGCTGTACCCATGGCAACGGGAGACCCAGCATCAGGAGCGCTCTCTCAGTGTCTGCATTCAGCACCGCGGGATGTGGAGGGGGGGCGCTTTGGGAACAGAGTAGACCCTGGCAGTCACTGGGTCCAGACCCCTCCTTCGAGGGCGTAGCAGGGAGCCACCAACGGGAAGGGAAGGGCCGAGGAAGACCCGTCTTCTGACTCCTTGCCGGACCCCTGCTAGCCCTGCTGCTCCTCCCTCAGGGGAGGCTTCCGGTACTTTCTCCCTTGATGGGCATTAACTGTCAAGAGGCGCCAACAGCTATGGGAAGGGAAGGAGAAGAGTCCGTAAGGCCATGAGAAAGGGGAACCAGAAGGGTTGGAGGAAAGCCAGAATGTTCCAGAATCTGCGGGAAGCAGGGGCTATCCAATACAGCAAGCAAGTCAGGTTAGATAATTAGCAAATTCAGCGTTTGTTTGGAATCCACCTAAAAGATCATCCCTAATTTGAGCTTATTTCTAGGCAACATTCCCTGGACCTAGTAATTAGGGAGCAACCTTTCCCTCTGAGATTTTTGTCATTCTGGAGATGTCCTATTATGCAGACAGTGAAGGGAAGCAGCACAATGGATAGAACGTTTTTTTTTCCTAAGCCACAAACCATCCTTGGCTTCTGCAGTTTCTCCCTAGCATTGCAAGGTAGTAGCTCTTGTGCTTTAAGTCTTCCCCAGAAATGTTTAACGATAGCAAGAAATATATAAACAAGCAAAACCCAGACTTATAGCTACAGACTTGATTTCTACATGGCAGAAGCTAGGTTTTCTTTGTCTTTTATGGCACGTTTCCAGGTCTACATATTGTCTGGCCTGTGCACCGTTGGTTTTTATACGTTTTGGGATTTGACCTGTTGTGAAAACTATTCTTGCCACGTCCATACATGTAATAACACCTAATTACTACTTAATATTCTATTTGTTAATTCAACGACCGTTTAAGCTTTTTCCGTATCCAAGGCAGTGTGCTGAGCAGTTAGAGTTCAGTGGGGAAAGCAGTGTCCCTGCTCCCAAAGGCACATGGACAGCATTCCAGGACAGGGGAATCAGGACATGATGGGAGCCTGTGTACATTGCGTTTAGACCAGAGGGGCCAGTGGTCACTTATTTGGAAGGAGGGAGGGGGTCAGAAAGTCTTCCTTGAAGCAAAGCCTCTCTCTGGCCATTCAACATTCTCAAATCCTTTATGCCGTGGTTCTTCTATATTTTATCAGAAAACCTTCAGCAGTAGGTCAGTGCCACAAGCTGTCCACCTGCGTTTCTATACCCGGTTGCTGAGCCCCGTGAGAAGCCATCTCATCCTCTAAACATCCAATTTAATTGCTCATAAGTTCCACCTTCCATAAAACACTGAACACATTCAGCCAAGTTCTCTGCCACTTTATAACATGGATCACCTTTCCTCCAGTTTCCAAAGTCAGCTCCATCCCTTTAACTAACTGTCTGTTAATCCCATTCCTGGTCATTCCCCCATGACAGCAACTTCATGTATTCCATCAGTGGCTGTCTTCCCACTGGCCAGTCTTGGCCCCATGGGGGATTGGTTCATGCCCCTGAACCCCTAGATTTGCACCTGCCTGAGTGCCGTGTGGTTTCCCACAGGTATCCTTTGCTGTGTCTTCAGAGACGTCTCAGTGTGAGAGACACACAGTGCAGGAGAGGCAAAGTACTGTCAGGCTACAAGGCCATGAAGCTTGTGGCTGGAAGGTGGACCACCAGGATGTGAAGAAGACGCCAGAGGGTGTGATACAGTTCACCCGTCGCACTGCTCAGATCCACTCGTTCCTCACGTCACGTCCAATCCATCTCAGAGCCCTCCAGGTGGTGGCAAGAATCAATAGCATTTCAGGTATCTTGGTGTCACCATCAGACTCGATATCCACCAGCCCTCAAAATTCGGGGTGTCCCCCTTTTCCCAGTGAATACTCTGATAAACGGCTGTAAGTCCATTTAAGGAAGAGTTAAGGGGCCTTTATCATAAACAGCTGTGGTGCCAGTGCAGAGGCTCTTTCTCAGGAGGACCAGCGTCCTCCCTTCATCAGTGGACTCTTGGTGCATGAAACTGACCCAATGTGATTTTCCACCAGCTCTGGATTTTTCACCAGCTCTAGATTTTTGTCTTGGTTCCACTAATTCCCTGCCCATCCCAATGGCCTTTTAGCTTTGCTGTCCATTATAGTTGTTATGTCTACCTGACCACTGTCCAGTGGGGACTGCCACCTGCCTTCTCCACTCTGTAATCACATCAGCATCTTCACTGACACTGGGGAGCTCAGTCCCATGGCTGGACCCCTACTGTAGACTGCAGGCCCACAGAGGACAGCCAGCCTGGAGCCTCTCAAACATGTCCATGCCCCTCTCACCAATGCATTTCCTATTGCTTTTGTAAAGGGGGTGTCCCTTGAGCTTTGCTGGGGAACACAGTCAGGTGGTAAGTTCTTTCATCTCACACAGCAAAGTCATCCTAACATTGCCCCTTCCCTGAGCCCTCTGTCCCTTACCTCAATGCTCTGCCCAGGCAGTTCCAGCCTCTCTGCCTAATTTACTGCAGGTCATCATGATGCACAAGCTTCACGGACCCATCCCGGCAGGGTAGTAAGGCAGGCTCCAGGCCTTCTCCAGCCTCTAAACTAAGCTGGTGACTAAACTAAGCTGGAGATGTTCAGTCCAAGTCTGAAGATCTGAGAACCGGGGGGCCGATGGTGTAAGTCCCAGACTGAGTTTGAAGGCCTGAGAATCAGATGTCTGAGGGGAGGAGGAGGTGGACGTCTGCACTCAAGCAGGGAGCAAATTCACCTTTCCTCTGCCTTTTTGTTCTACTCAGACCCTCCACAGAGTGGGTGACGCCCACCCACATCGGGGAGGGCCATCTTCTTTCCTCCGTCCACCAGTTCAAATGCTCATCTCTTCCAGAAAGACAAACCCAGAGATAATGTTTGACCAGCTATCTGGGCATCCCTTAGCCCAACCAAGTTGACACATAAAATTAACCACCACAACAGGTGAACTCACAGTCTGAAGCCCAGAGGTTCCCCCTTCTGCCCTGGTTGGGGAAGAACACTGATAGGTGTTTTCTACTTTGGTTTTCCCCATTATCACTTTGCTCCACAAGGAAGTGGAGAGAGATTGGGAGACTCAGAGGAACCACCCTCAAAGCACAAAATCCTTATGAAAAGACCAGACTGGGAAGAAATGAAATTTCCAGATCTCGACTCTAGGTTTTCCCCTGATTGCTCAACTTAAAGCATTAACCACATTCCAGGTAGAAGATGATCCATTTTTATTCTAAAGACCCAGCATGTGTTGTGCTTCTGCTGTTCTCTCCCCTTCAGTTTTATAAACACCCTGAAAATGACTTACAGACGTAAACGTCAATCAGGAACTCTCTCCAGCCTGTATGACAAAATCCAGGGCCGTCTGCAAAGGAAAGTTCTGCTCCCCCATTTTATCGTTGTTTTGATTTCCGAGGGGTCCCCAGGGCATCTGGTTTCCATAACTTCCTGCTTCCTCCAGATGGAATGACCCAGCCAGCCAGCTCCCTCCAAGGAGAGCGTGTGGTCAGGCTGGGGTTCCTTCCCTGCACCTCCTTCCTCACGTTTGGAAAGTTGGAGATTTCCTCTCGGTTTCATGGTTTATGTCAAATAGCTGTATATTCAAAGCAAACGGACTGCTTTGTGTATTTCAACATTCCTTCACGTAACTTGACTTATCTGACTCTTGAGAGTTGTGGCTGTTTTTGCAAATCACTGAAGAGGGGCAGAAGCAGGTTCTCTAGCTAATGGAAAGGGTTGGGGGGAGGGGAGAGCCTCAGACCCCTCCCACCATGAGCAGGCAGACCACAGACCACAGTGTGTCTTGGGTCCTGGGAGGGCCCCAGGTTGGCTTTTCTGAAGCCGTTTTCCATGCCCACGTGCGGTTGGTTCCCGTGTGAAAGAAGCCCCACTGGCGATCGGCAGCTTTCCCCAAGCTTTCCCATGGGGCAGGCATTTCCCCATGTTTCCGGGGCAAAGACAGAGTGAAGTGCCAGGTGCTGAGGTCAGAGTCGACTGTTGGTGCGTTTGTGCATTAGAGAGACAAACCCAGGATAAGTGTGTAAAAGAGCTAAAACCCAGCACTGGGAAAATATACCCAATACTGGCCCTTGAAAGATTGGGTCACTCCCAGCACCTTTAAATGCCAAAAAACGCTCCGCGGTTTTAAGGCACATGCTAACAAGAGCTGTGCTCCCAGGTCAGTCTTGAAGCTTCATCAAGTCGATTTAAAATTCAGAGGTTGAGGGCTGCCCTGGTGGCGCAGTGGTTGAGAGTCCTCCTGCCGATGCAGGGGACACGGGTTCGTGCCCCGGTCCGGGAAGATCCCACATGCCGCGGAGCGGCTGGGCCCGTGAGCCATGGCCGCTGAGCCTGCGCGCCCGGAGCCTGTGCTCCGCAACGGGAGAGGCCACAACAGTGAGAGGCCTGCGTAACGCAGAAAAAAAAAAAAAAAAAAAAAAATTCAGAGGTTCTCAAAGCCTGTTCAGCGATTCCAGGGTAGGCGGCATCACAACAGTCATGAAGCTCACAGAACAAAAGCTCGCTGTCCAGACCAGACAGCTGCTATTTGATGCTGAGTTTGGTGTCTCGTGGACCGAACCCCAGGATGCAGAGGTAGGAGGCTCTTAGGGATCATCCAGTCTATTATAAATGAGAACTCAGCCCGCAGACCAGCCCTGCCTCCCTGTTAGCTCAGTGCCCTAGGGAAGGGTACCCCATCGCTCTGTGCCTCAGTTTCCTCCTCAGAATCTCGTTTCACTAAGATGTTGAGAAATGGCCTTACATCCTACGCTGGGTCTATGGCCCACACTAGGTCCAGAGAGAGCTACCGGGATTAGCTTTGCTGGGCTGTGGTCTTCGATCCTGGCTGCTATGCACTTGCAGAAGATGTGTCCTCGGTACAAAATACGACCATGCTTTGCTGCCAAGGATAGAGAAAATGGAAAGTTCAGCTTCTTACTCCACAATGCAGGAGTTCTAGTGACAGTTATATTTGGATAAATGGAAGTTAGAGGTTTTAGTGATTTTCTGGTATTCTGACCACACCAAAACTTCGCCCTAGTTGCTAATACGCTCTGTGTCAATCAGGGTTCAACCCGAGAAACAGGGCCAGCAGGGTGTGTGTGTGTGTGTGTGTGTGTGTGTGTGTGTGTGTGTGTAGACTTATTGCAAGGGATTGACTTATGTGATTGTGAGGGCTGGCTAAGCAAGTCTGAATTCATAGGGCCGGGAAATAGGCAGACTGGAAATTTGGGGCACTGGCCGAAGCTGTTGGCCACACATGGAATTCTTTCTTCTACAGGGAAACCGCAGCTCTGCTTTTAAGGTCTTTCAGCTGATTGGGCGAGGACTACCCAGGTTATCCAGGCCATTTCCCTTATGTAAAGCCAATCGATTATGGGCTTTTATCACATCTACAAAATACCTTCCCAGAAGCATCTAGGTTAGTGCCACATAGACACACTCTGTCCCTGCAGAATGAGCCCTTTTATATTGACCCGTCCTTGAAATTTGCATTTGCTAAACTCCCTGATGCCACAAAGACAAGAGACTTCACCATTTGCTACTGACTTGTTGACCAACAGGGATTTTAATCCCCGGCTTGCTTGCCCCGGGCCTTTGTGGCCGCTCTGCACACAGCATCCCAGCTCTGGACTCTCTTGACTTAAACTTGTACCTTAGAAATGCACTTTTCCTGTGTCCCAGGCCCTCAGACCTCTTGCCTGCTAGTCTGGTGCTTCTCAAATTACCTGTGGCAAAGGACCAGTTGTTTTGCTTTGTTATTAATTTCCAATCCATTATGCGACTAATGCTTTCATAAAACACGATAAAGATGAACCACCAGAAAAAAATGACCATGCAGTTAGATGCCATGGAGCTATCAGAGTGTCTGGACATTGGCTTGCAATTTCTGTGCTCACCACAGGCCCAGGACAAGCAGTCTCAGGCTGTCACTGAGCATGGACCATGCACGCCATGGATGACTCATGGATTCCTTCTGTGAATATTTCTTGAGCACTTACTATGCGCCAGGCACTGCTTTAGCTCATGAAACTATACTTTTAATGGAGGGAGACAATGGAGAAACATAATAAATAAGTAAATTAAACACTGTGTTAGAAGGTGATACGTTCTATGGGAAAAACTAAAGCAGGGCAGGGGATGAGATTGCTGAGTTGGTTGGGTTCCCCACCCCCTGGCTGGGTGTCTTGGGGTTCTAAATGGTGATGTAAACCCATCTGTGGAAAAGTGTGCATGGTTGTCCTTATCGTTAATACGTTTGTATTTTAACAGGAAGCTTCTTATTACGCAGGATGAGAACTGAGACCCATGCATTGACACCTGTGGGTCAGGTCAACACTGAGGGCCTGGGATCTCTGAACCGGAAGCAGAAGCACGTGGACGGGCCCCGGGGAATTTCTGAACGGAGATGGGAGCAGAGAGAACCCGAGGAAGAACAAAAGGTAACAGAAAACACTAAGGTTAAGCCAGGTACCCACCACCCCTCATGCTTAAACGGGAGGAGGAAGGAATGTTCTCGCTGGGCTCATTTTAACTCGGCGGGCAGCAGCTTCAAGGGAGGGCGCTGGGGTCCTGTAGACTTAGTACAATGCAGACAACCCGGGAAACCATTAGTCTTGCTGCAATTAGCAATTTTTTTAACAACAATAATGTGCTCATTGGCATCACCCCAGTTGACCGGGTGTTCGACTGTGAAGGAAAAGAACAAAATCTAAGAATGTGCACAAAGGGCTGGAAATAGAGTGTCAGGGATGCCTAAAGGCTGCCGTGAAAGCAGGGACCTTGTACTTTTTAGCTTTCAGGGTGAAAAAAACACTCCATGAGAACATGTGAGTTTATTGTTCCACTTGACAACGTGTAAAATGGAGACAAATGATAATAATAGGTGAGACTTAGCATCCATTGTTAATCCACGTGCTGCGCCTTGAGGGGGCTCTTTCATTGTCCCCCATTTTCAAATGAGGCGTGAGAGGCTGGCTGACCAAGGCTGCAGGCAGGCTGGTGCTGCAAACCCTGGCCACTTGGCTACGTGTCTGGGCTCCTACCCATGACGCCATCCTGCCTCTCAGGAGCGCCCCGCATCCCTTCCAGTAAGTTGCGGGGGGCTGTTCTGGGTAGAGGGAGCAGCCCAGGACCCTCAGAGCACTTACTTCACCAGCTCAGCCACTCAGAGACCAGCACCCAAGACAGAGCCTGTTTCCCAGGCCACGCTCCTGTAAGCTAAGCGGATCCCAACAAGAAGAGCACAGGCTGCTTCCTCAGAGCTGGCCAGGACAGGGAGTCAGTCCAATCACCTGCGTTTGGAGAGAGATGGATGGAGAGATGGAGGGAGGGAGGGAGAGAGATGGGTGGCAGCCAGAGCAGTAGAAAGCTTCTGGCAGAGCAAAGGCAAGGCTTTGGGTGAGCCACAACTGGAGGCTGTTGGCGTAGGGGAGCTGGCATGCTAATTACAAGCAGGACACCCTTTGTGATTGGTTAGGGGGCATATTTGTTTTTGCCAGGTTGGTCCTGAGTTGAAAGCAGGGGCAAAGGGAAGCTGGCAGTCCCTGGCCAAGTCCTGGCCATTTTGGCCTGACTGCTGCAGGGGTTGTAGTCAGAGTTCTCTTGTCATATTTGGTCTGGCTGTTGCTGTTTGTATGTTTGATCTCTTGTAATGAGAATGTTCTCCAAACGCCGGCTCCCAGGCATGTTCTCCAAACACATGGCGCTGTCATGGGCATAGTGCCCCGGGGAGCTGATTCCACTGAATGCCTGGAAACAGACTCACAGGCCCAGGTGCGGGGTGGCTCTACACCCTGGAGTGGGGACAGAGGGCTGCATCGTGGTCATCTCCCCAGTAGCTACAGATGAGACCTGCCCCAGTCCTCTCTGTGGGGACTAAACTGAGCCCCAGGAACCCCTTTCCCCCTGTCAGACACCCACTGTTCTCTAGCCAATTAGCTCAGAAAAGCCTGGGAGCTTGGGGCTGGGAGCGGAGGGGAAGGAAACCCAGTTAGGTTGCCTCATTCCTGCAATCCTCTGCTCAAGTGTCTTCAAGTCAGTCTCTCCTGCGCTACATCGTAACGTAGCACCGCTGCTTATCCTGTCTTTATTTGGAATTTGGATATTTTGTTATCACGCGTTATTTGCATTCACTTTGATATTCTTCAAGTATTGCATTGCATATCGTTTATCTTGATCCTTGAGTGTTGGGGACTCCCTTAAATTTTGCACCTGAAGCAGGTGCCTCGTGCTCCTCACCCCGCCCCCTCCCTGCTTTCAAGCCCCGAGGGCTTCCTCCTCAGTATCTAGTGTTCCAGGGCTGGCGAGTAAATGCTGCACATTTTTAATGGACTGTTAGGTTTCAGTCATGGTTTCTGCTTCACTTTTTATTAATTAGCAATTAATTCATCTCAAATATTTCTTGAGCCAACTCTATTCCAGGAACCGTGCCAGGTGCCGGGGATTCAGGAATGAGCGAAACACTAGTGGGTGGGCTTTAGCCCTGGAGCTCACAGTTCTGGGGCTGGAGTCCCAGACTCCGTGGCCCTCACCCTCCCTACCTTTGTCCCGGTGGAGGGAGGGCTCCTGGAGAGGGCCCTTGGTAGCCCTTGGTGGGGGCAGCACGCGTGTTGGGGGAGTGAGCTGAGCCACATGCCTCCTGGCTCCTCTGGGATCAGTTTTGGCTCCGCCAAGGTGGCAGGGAGCTCCCCTGCCCCAGTGGAAATGACTGTCAGAAGAAGCCTGCAAGATGCTTGCACCATGGGGTTGAGGGGTCAGCTCTTCGGATCTGAGAGGCCCTGCCCTCTTTCTCGACCCTGGCCAGCCCATCCCTCCTCTTTCATAAACACACTTACAGTTTTGGAAACCAGTTCCAACCACCCCCAGCCCAGGACCTCACAAGAGTGGCCACCCATGGGTGTTAAACAACGGTGAACAGAGCGCCAAGGAAAGAGCCCATCTTGTAAAACCTTCGGTGTCACCTGCTTTGCAAATCCAAAGATAGAAACAACATCAGATCAGCTTTGCTCCTTACTGGCAAGCCTTTCCATTTACCTTGTAGGGGGGATGGTCACTGTCTGCGGGTCTGAGCTCGGGAACCCTCAGATCTTCTAGGACCAGGAACAGGTGGGTGTCTTCCAGCCCGAGGTCTGTAATGACACTGCCTCTCCAGCTGACCTATACCTTTGCCCCTTTTCCACTGTAATGCCCCATTGTACTAAAGCTCTACATTTCCCTGGCCGGGTTCCATAGCTCTGTGGGTTGCTTTTCAACATCAGAAGTGTCTCATTTTTGGACATTAAAGCCCAAAGTTCTAAATCGTAACTTGTCTCTCTCATCCACTAAAAACCTTCTCCTTGGCCCTAGTTTCCTTCCTGGTCTCTCAGGCTCCCACCCCACCTTTTCACTCTCAGCTGAGGCCTGGCTCGTACTGGGAGGGGGATGGTTACTGTAATCATTGATAGGATGGATTGAAACCCACCATCTTTCTATTTGTTTTCAACATGTCCCATCTGTTCTCTTGTTCCCTATTCCTGCTTTCTTTTAGATGATTTTTTATGATCCCATTTTATGTCCACGATTGTCTTACTGGCTGTTATGGGCTGAATTGGGTCCCGTTAAAATTCATATGTTGAAGCCCTCACCCCCAATGTGATGGTGTTAGGAGGTGGAGCCTTTGGGAGGTGATGAGGGTTAGGTGAGGTCATGAGGGTGGGGCTCCCATAATGGGATTAGTGCCCTAATAAGAGGAGACACCTAAGAGCTTGCTCTTAGCCTCTCTACCATGTGAGGACTTATCAGGAAGTCAGCTGTCTGCAAACTAGGAAGTGGACCCTCACCAAGAACCAAAGCTGCTGGCACCTCCATCCCCAGAGCTGTGAGAAATAAATTTCTGTTGTTTTAAGCCACCCAGTTATGCAATTTTAAAAATTTTGGTGGGCTTTCCTGGTGGCGCAGTGGTTAAGAATCCTGCCAATGCAGGGGACATGGGTTCGAGCCCTGGTCTGGGAAGATCCCACATGCCGCGGAGCAACTAAGCCCGTGTGCCACAACTACTGAGCCTGTGCTCTAGAGCCCACGAGCCACAACTACTGAGCCCATGCACCTAGAGCCCATGCTCTGCAACAAAAGAAGCCACCGCAGTGAGAAGGCCGTGCACCGCAACAAAGAGTAGCCCCTGCTCACCGCAACTAGAGAAAGCCCGCGCACAGCAATGAAGACCCAATGCAGCCAAAAAAGAAAAAAAAGAAAAAAATTTGGCTAATAAATTTCTATCTCCCCTCGTGTTGGTCAGGTTTTCTTGTAAACTAATGGGAAGATGTTACATTTTTAAATATTCAACAAAATGGTTAAAATAACACTAGAAGAGTCCCTGGATTAATATCCAAAATATATAAGGAACTCATACAAATAAATAGCAGAAAAGCAAATAATCCAATTAAAAAATGGGCAAAGAACCTGAATAGATATTTTTCCAAAGAAGACGTACACATGGCCAACAGGTACATGAAAAGGTGCTCAACATCACTAATCACCAGGGAAATGCAAACCAAAACCACAGTGCAATATCACCTCATACCTGCCTGTTAGGATGGCTGTTATCAAAAAGATGAGAGATAAGCGTTGGTGAGGCTGTGGAGAAAAGGGAACACTTACACACTGTTGGTGAGAATGTAAATTGGTGCGGACACTATGGAAAGCAGTATGAAGCTTCCTCAAAAAATTAAAAAGAAAACCACCACATGATCCGGCAACACCAATTCTGAGGATATATTGGAAGGAAATGAAATCAGTCTCTAAGAGGTATTTGAACTTCTGTGTTCCCTGCAGCATTATTCACAGTAGTCAAGACATGGAAACAACCTAAGTGTCTGTCCGCCGATGACTGGATAAAGAAGATGTGGTGTGCACACATACACGCTGGAATGTTATTCAGCCACGAGAAAGAAGGAATTCCTGCCATGTGCGACCACATGGATGGACCTTGAGGGCATTATGCTGAGAGAAGTCAGACAGAGAAAGACAAATACTGTATGATCTCATTTATATGTAGAATCTAAAAAAGCCAAACTTGTAGAAGCAGAGAGTAGAATGGCGGTTCCCAGGGACTGTGGGTGGGAAAAGGGGAGAGGTTGGTCACAGGGTACCAATTTCCAGTTAGAAGATGGGTGAGTTCTGGGGAGCTCATGTACAGCATGGTGACTACAGTTAACAATTCTGTATCCTTTACTTCAAAGTTGCTAAGACAGTAGATCTTAAATATTTTCACTACCACCACAACAAAAAATGGTAATTATGTGATGTGATAGAGGTATTAACCTTCCTGTGGTAATCATTTCTCTCTCTCTCTCTCTCTCTCTCTCTCTCTCTCTCTATATATATATATATATATATATATATCTCGTCACATTGTACCCATTAAACTAATACAATGTTGTATGTTAACCCCTAAATTTTGTGC